GTAGAAGTAGTAGTAGTGGTAGTAGTCGTAGAAGCAGTAGCAGAGGTAGTGGTAGTGGCAGTGGCAGTGGAAATGGTAGTGGATTTGGTAGTGGTAGCGATAGTGGGTGGTAGTGGTTTTGGTACTGCTAGTGGTACGGGTAGTGGTAGTTGTTACTGGTGGTGGTGGTGGTTGTGGTGGTGGTGGTTGTGGTAGTGGTAGGTAGTGGCAGTGGTAGTGATGCACTAGTGCGCCGCTGATCACTACCGCTAACGCTACCATTGACGACGCTAGCTGCAGCTTTGACTGCGGCGGCTTTGACTGCGGCTGATGCTGGCTGCTGCTGCTGCTGCCGCCGGTGATTCTGCTGACTATGGCTGTGGCAGCATGATGCTATGCTGTTCCTGTTGCTACGGCCGTTGTTACCAGTAATTACAAGGTCCGTGAAAATGGATATGAGTTTCGTCTTCTGTTTTTGCCACGCTGACACTGACCGATTTGAGGCGGTGTCACTGGGTGGCAGAGCGGCAGAGGAGCTTCTGAGTTTTGGGGCTGTGTCCGTCTGTCTTTCTGCGAGTCCGCGAGTGTGGTTAATGTTTCCTGGGCCTTGTCACGTCCCAGCGAAGAGGAGCTCTTTGTGGGAAAGATTTCCACTGGGGCCTCGGACGACTTGGACAAGGCGGTGCATTGGCGGTGTGTCTGCGTTCACTCGTATTAGCTGAAAAAGCAGAGTGCTCATCACTACATGAAACAGGTCACGAAGATGGCGCATGTGCTTTGGCTTCAAAGTAGATATTGTACAACACCTCCGATTTTTTCAGGGTTGCTTTCGGTATCGATCGGATGTGGGCGCTTGTTGACCATGTGAGGCATGCAGGTAGGTAGGCTCCGGATAGAAGCTTGGAGGCAAGGCATGGCGATGCAATGTTGGCTTTAAGAACGCTAGAACGTGCCGTGAATCCCTGCAGCAAGCTGAGAAATATAACTCCGCGGTAGATGGCCGAGGCTATGGTGGCCGTCTATGGCATGTCCGATAAGATTGGATTGCTGAATTTCGGTCAGAACGATGCAAGCAACCAGTTCTACAAGCCCTACAGCTACTGGGTCTCAATCTGGGCACATGGCAAGTCGAACTGAACTCCATGCGCCTTGGTTGTTCTGCAGGCGAAGCCACTGGCCAGATGATCGACAAAGAGACGCGAGAGGTAGTGGATCAGCAGTACGAGAGGGTGAAGAAGCTGCTGCTCCAACACGAGGAACAGCCCACCCTGTGACGCGAGTACGTTGGTGATAGTTTCAAGCTTGTGATGTTGAAAGCAATCGAACGAAGACGGTTGCTGACGAGCATAGCATTCCGCGCTGGTCTTGGGTCAGCGGTCCTGAAATGCCTAAATCTCAAAGAACAAGGCTCGGTGCTGCAAGTAGCTCCAGCATCTGCTTGTAGCACTTGCAGCAGGAGAAGCTCCGCTCGCTCACCGAAAGCAGCTTCTCTGCAACAGACCTGACACCCAAGCGACGCTTTGGAAAGCTTAGTTCCCTGCCTCGCGGCCTGGTTGCGACAAGGACTAAATTCCAAGGAGACCTTGGTGTACAATGAGCTGGTCGAGGCTCGTACATGGGTCCAACTCCTGAAGCTCATGAGATCTTTCATGCCTTGAGTATCCTCAGCTAGAGAAGATGTGCTGGAAAGCGTGGTCCCTCCAGGTCTTGGGTGAGAGGCCCTATGAGATGAAGCAACTCGTCATGATTTCGGCCGAGCTGATGTAGCATTTATGCACCTACTTCGGTTGCCTTTGGAGTCCTGGGGCATCTTTCTCTGCATCATCGTCTCATGAACTGAGGAAGGAAATCAGTGCCTTCGTGACGGCAGGAGCCAACCCCTTCGCCGCAGAAGCTGAGGAGAAGCCAGCAGAAGGCACCCTTGCAAATCAGCGCATTTCGCTTTTGCACATTCGAGGACGCGCGCAGAGTGCGAGACAGTACTTTCTGTGAGCATCTTCAGGCCCTCCGGACAGTGATGGACCGGCACCTGGACTACAGCCCGCGTGAGCCGAGCTCACATTTGGGTTTCTTAATCGCCCATAAGATTAACGTACAGCGCGCCGTGCCGCGCCGTCTCGAAGTAGACGTTTGCTCCAAATGCGAACCAGAGCTGAAGATGTTTCCCAAAGAAGAGCATTTGGCAATCATTGACCCGCAAGTATGGCAAGTTACCTCCGGTGGGAAATCTCTTCAGTCCTGCCTGTGCGCATATTTACATGAGCTTGCGGAGAGGAATGGATCGGAGAAGTTTCACGAGTTCGTAAGTTCGGAAATCAGATCAAGCTCTCTTGGGGCTCCAGACTTCCAGCCCCGTGCAAAATGCACATCCGTGGGTTCTGAGGGAGGGGGAGCCCAAGGCTCGTATTGATTTTCTGCAGCTCCGTGCCTTGCCTACGACTGCCCGCCGGCCTGAAGTAGCGGTCTCTTGTGGGCCATCTCGGATATGATATGAGATGACATGATATGTGACAGCGAATGCAGAAGCAACGCTCGGGGCTGGCATCCAAACCCCAAACCGTTGCGTGCTAGCAGAATGCTAGACGCTAGAGCGCAGTGTTGCTTTGGGCACATTGGGCATGGTGAAGCACCATGCTGAACTACCGCTGTGTGATGTCTCAATGCCAGCAGAAGATTTGAGAACGATTCAAGAATCCCACCAGAAAAGACGAAGTCATCGTGATGGCTTGGGAGATGTTCAGCGGGATGCCAGTATACAGAGGCCCCATGAACGTGAAGAAATCGTCACTAAGATGCTGATGTTGAATGTTTGGACATCAAGCCCCCCTGCTGCAACTCCTCGTGCTTGCCCAGCCATCCCAGGGTGGTTTTTGCAAGCTGCCTGAGGTGCTGGAGTCAGAAGAAATTCTCAGGAATTGCTTTGGCCTCGGAGCATCCCGTGGGATAAAAATGCAGCTTGGTCTTTGCCAGTTGGCAAAGTAGCGGGACATGGTCTGTGCCCGTGCAGGTCCTCTGGAGGAAGCAGCGCATGGTAGGCACGAGGCAGATGATGACTTCGGTAGTCTTGCGACGCACCGAAGCAGCCTGCCAGTCTGATGCCTTTACTCCACGCTTTGGTAGCGGATCGCTTGGAGGCCAGCATGTCCTCACACTCAGCGCTGATGCTTGGGTTTTTGGCACTGAAGACAGGACGCCGTCGCCATCAATTTCGCCGTCTACACCCTCAGTTTAGCTGCCAGGATCCTTGGGCAGTCTGTGCCGTGTCTGGGTCGAGCAACCGGCTGCAAAGGACTGGCTCGGTTGCTCTGACTCCACAATGGAGGCTGGTTCCCCGTCCTTGTCGGCGTTGTCGTTATCGTCCCTTTCCTCTTCTGGTTGTCGGAGCACAGGGTATGTTGCAGATGAACCACGAGCTCCGTTTGCACAACACTGCCCCTCTCGCTTCAGGGCTTGGCATCTGCTGCAGCGCAGCACAGCGCAGAGGCCGAAGACACAGGATGAGTAAAGCCACACAAGACACATGCTGGGCCGCGTGTTGGTGCCTTTTTGAAGCCCAGCGCCCAATCCATTCACGATGCCCCACGAAGATTCCTCGGACTAAGCCTGTGGTCTTGCTCAGATGCCGCAGATGATCCAAGCCGTGCTGAAGACAGATGAGGCGTGGTGAAAGCTCGCGGACTTCTTAGAGTTGATGTTTGCGAAGGCGAGCAAAAGCCTGGAGTGGGCCCACATCTCAGCCTCGGCGCACCAAATGCGATGTTACCCAATGTCCTGCTTCACAACCTTGCCGGGTTCGTCGCGCACAGAAGCCGGTGCGATTCTTTGTGTAATTACAAGTTGTAGCCAAGGTTCTAAAACGAGGACTCCTCATCCGCGATGCAAGAGGCATTGAGGTGACCGAGCACTGCCTGATTGCCGGCCTTGGTTTTCTGATGTAGTCACTGTTTGTCATTGCGCATTCGCATCTACACGCATGCAGCTGCGTCCTGGAGGCTTTGGCTACCCATGCTGCCAAAGAGATGTGGCGGAATCTTTGCGGGCAAGCTGGCGCTGTTTCGTGTGTCTGTGCGAGTTTCGTGATACACAGCTTTATCGATGGGTGCAGGCGAGCAATTCTCCAGAGTCTGTCCAGCCCATAGAACTCCCGAGGTCAGTGTTGCTGTGAAGTTGCAGAATATCCTTGGCGCCGGGGGCAACATGTTGCGAGGCTCAACCTAGCAAGCCAAGATCCCGACGGGCTCAGGCACGGGGCCCTGCAATTTGGGTAAACCGCTCGGGTCTTGCTTTCTCCAGGCTTAGCCCCGCAGCTCATGCTGCAATCGTGCTGGGCATCCCTCCGCGGGAGGCGAGAAAGCCGTTGTGGTGCTGCTCACGAGGATTCATGAAGCCACTAAGCCTCGTTGAACGGTCGAGCCTATTCTTTTCGCCAGGTTTTGCTCCGAAACAGGGTTCTTCTTGATATGAGGGAGGATGTCGACGTTCTGTGCTGTGGGTGGTCAACGCCAGGGTTTTCCACGCTTGCTGCACCTTTCCTCCCTTCATTTATGGGACCCTCACAAAGAGGAGCAAAACACTCGAAAAGGGTTGATGGCCTAGTGACTAGAACAGCAGACCGAACTAAAGAGAACAGAGACCTTGAGTGATAGAAATGGTGAGGGGGACCCTCACACTGTCGCGGCAGGACGCCCAGCCGCAACCCGAGCCGCCTCAAACGTCGCCCCCCAGCGGTCCCTCCCCAAAGAGGGGAACAGAGACGTTGAGAAGGAGAGAGTTTGTTTCCTTGGCTCAAGCCAGTTTGGCTCAAGACAGACTTCTCGCCCAACCTGAGCTTGTCCGGTGGCGGCAAGCCATGGGCGTGGGCCTTGTTTCTTTGTCTCTCACAGACTTCTTGCATCATCGTGCCTCTTCATTCCCTTCATTCGACGCTTGTGTACCCTGGTCTCCCTTCATTTGAGACCGGCCTGCGTGGTCAATGCCCGTGTTTTCGTCCCCTCTTGTCTTTCTTGCAGCGGGTGTTGTGAGTGCCCCGAACCCACAGTAGGGTTCGTGTTAACGCGACAGAGAACACCGACGTTTTGTGCTGTGGGTGGGTGTCGGATGCCAGAACCTTCGACGGCTGTCCCCCATTGTCTCGTTTCATGTGGGCTCTTGAAGTCAAAGCCAGGTAATGCTTCAGTTTTGGCATCAACTGCATTTAAAAGGGTGGCGTAGTAGCCTTGCGAGCAGGTCCATTCAGCCTGGGCCTTGATGTTTATTGGATTGCAACCGCGGGCGTTACGCGACACGCGACACAATGATTTCTCTGTTTTTCCAGGTATTGCCATCGAAGCTCCGCTTCGGCGACTTGGCTTGAAGCTGTGCCGCGGGATCGCTTCGAACATCCTGAAGTGAGTAATTACAGTAAATATCGGTCCTTTCTTCGTCTACCGAGGGCCCAGCGCTCAAAGTCTGTTCCTGGACTTAAGAAAGAAGGGCCGGGCACCAAGCACTCGCAGTGAAAGTTCTGATCGTGCTTTTCGCCGGCTGAGCAGCAGCAGAGGTATCGGACCCGAAGGAGCAGCACGGCACATCCCTCAGACCGGTCGGCCTTGCCTCGCCACTGCGGCCGCTGCGCAGCGCTGCGCACAGGTTGGAGTTTCCAGGCCGGCTCCGCGAGCTTGACCTGGACTTAACCCGTCGGCAGACTTGGTATTGCCTGGTTTCGTCTTCGTCGGTCCGATGCTACTTGCTGTGACTTCTGCGTGATGTGGCTCCCAGCCCTCCCGTCATGCAGCAGCTCACAATTCAACCAAACTGTATTAAACCTTCACCTTCAATCCCTCAGGCTTTGAGCCAGCTGCCACCTACCGCAACAAAGAGTCTGAGCAAAGAGCTTTAGAATTGAAGGCTTAGAGGCTAAGGTGGTAGTTGCTGCCAGCCTGACATGCCTGGGCGAGTATGGGAAGTAATCGGTGGCGAGCAAGCGGGCGGTCTGGTCGTTCGCAGCGGTGACGCTTGTCGTTAAAGCTTGTGGTTCATTGTGGAATTGTCTTTTTTGTGATGGTTTCGCCGCCGTGCTCGTGCCTTGCGTCGAAGGGTTTGGCGGTGGCACGAGCTTCTCGAAGCTCCGAGGTTGAGCTCTCGTCCCCGAAAGTGGAGGGCAGGCTGTCAACAGGAGCGCACCAGAGAGCAGAAAATCTCAAGCTGGACCCGGGGACCCGGGGACGGGCGCAGGCGCCACAGTGGAAGAAGTGGACTTGCAGCGCGACCGGTTGCACTACAAGCGGCTCACAGGGGCCGGGCCCGACTCTGGCTGGGTGTCTCTGAAGCTGAAGGCCGGAAGTTAAACCGGAGAGGGGGCCTTGAGCCATCTTAGGTTTAGGGTTTAGGGTTTAGGGTTTCGGGTTTAGGGTTTAGGGTTTAGGGTTTAGGGTAGTACGCGCTCAGGACAAGCCGCTGTTGCAACCGAGGCCTCAGGACCTCTCGTCGACACATCTTTGTTTTAGGTGAGGCTGGCTTGTGGCCTCGTGAGGACTCGGCTCCAGATGGCCGGGCTCAAGACCTGGCCAGCCTTTTTGGCCCTCTAGCTGGTGCCGAGATTGAGACCATCTCGCTTGCGCCGGACGTGCGACTCCGTGTTTCCACGAAGCAAGGCAAGAAACGACCTAGCCAGAGATTCAAGAATGCAGCTGACTTGCGCTGATGCTTCCTCGAATGTTGTCTCTCTTCGCCGAGAGCACAGCAGGCACACAGGCAGTTGCGTCATCTCTTCCAAGTCTAAGGATCAGCGACATCCACGTGGACCAAAAGCAGAACATGGATTGGTTTCGGAAGAATCTGCCTCAAAAGTCACCGGACCAGTTCAAAGTGCTCATCTTGCCCGGAGCCTTGGCACAATCCTTTCTGACTAATTGTGGCCATAAGTTTCAAGACCGGACAGGGAGTTTGGAAGGTTCTGATTCGCCTTGAAGGAAACCAAGGCGCAGCTTCACAAGCTCGTAGAAAGGGGCACCGGGCGAATGTGAGGGGTGCCGCAGTTACCGGAATGACTTGCGAGAAGGCTGCATCATCAGTCATGTCATCGGGGGTATTGAAGTGTCTGGATGCAGCCAAGGCGATGTCGCCGACGACATGGCCGTGCTTCGAAAGACTTTCGAGATGCTAACTGCGCCGCCGTTCGCATTGGAGTGGGAAGAAGATATCAGCACGAGTTGTCGCAAAAGTGTTGAAGAGCAGTCTCCTTTGGGGCCGGCATGCTACCAGCAGGTTGAGCATGCTTTCAACATGAGACAGTTGTACATATCGGCGCAGCAAGAGCCAGAAGATGCCGTTGCCAAACTTGAGGCCAGCTTCGATATGGTGTGCTACACAGCGGGGAATCACGACTTGTGGGTGAGGCAGTGGCGAAGCAGTTCACCTTAGTCCGGTCGATGAATCCACACTGCCTCAGGCGTGCCGGGAGTGCAGGAGACTCACTAGAAAAGCTGCGCGAGCTTTGTCACCTTTGCAACTCCTTGGGAGTGCGTGTGCGGCCGGTAAAGTTCTGCCTGCCCAACGCGAGAGATGTGCTGCCACCGGGCACTGACTTGGCGTGGTACTCCATGCTGTACCGCTTCAAACATGACACACCAGACTTCCTTAAGTGGACCCCAAGGTTGGTGCCGCTGCTGTCCTTCTATGCATCCTGCTGGGATCAAGATCCCGAGCTAGATTGGTGCCCGCCGGAGCAGCCACTGGAAGCATTAAAGGTTCTTCAGGCGGGTCTATGCTTGGAATGTGGCGTCGAGATTCAGAGTTTTTGGTGGCCTGAACTCCTTGAGCAAAATCTGGGTTCTTGTTAAGGGATTTAATTTAAGTTACCATAATAAGGAAACCATATTATTTACTATAGATCCCTATTATGGTAACTTAAATTAAATCCCTTAACAAGAACCCAGAAATCTGTGCTCACATGGTGGCTGTGTGCAAGGAAATCGATGGTCGGTTGGATGGACTTCCGGCTGCTCAAGTGGCCACAACTGCTGGTAGACGAAGTTGTCCGTAGGGAGGGCGACTTCAAATTTGGAAAAGATGGCACCTCTACGGCGATTAGCGTCGCTCGACTGGTGTGAGCATAAACCTTGCATGTCTGCTGTTAATGATTTCCCATTGTCCGGATGCTATGACAGCCGAGCCGTGCCAGCGCTGTTGCTCCAAAATGCTCCAAAATGTAAGGAAATCTTCGCAGAAATGAACCAGCCGCTGCTGGAAGCCATCGAAGCCATGAAGCACGAGAGCGGTGACGGCGATTCTGTTGTCATATCCTTTTCGCATTATTTGCCCAGACAGGCGAGACCAGTCCAAAAGTGCATTAGCAAAGTTGCAAAACTAATTCTGCGAAAGAAGATAGCCAGTCGACAGAGGAGCTTTTCCCCGAGAAGCGGTTCTTGGTGGATTCCACATTGGCAAAGGCCGGGCTGGTTTATTCTGCTTCTTGCGTGTGCTCAAGGCATGTGCTGAGAAGGTCTCCGGCTCTCTTGCGCTGGAGCGCCAAGTCCGGCGATTGCGGCCGGAACTTCACATCTTCGGGCATTCGCATCTCACGGTCGACAATGTTGTAGAGGGCCAGCGTTACCTCCAGTGGGCACTGGGCTATGCCAACGAGCAGAAGGGAATGTCCAGAGCTGTCGGCGACACCGGCATCTTGGTTGTGTCTCTTGGCCTGTAGTAGTCCTATTCGCCCCTGCAAGCTCACGGTGATTTTGCGGAGTTCCATTATCTCTGTGACGTCGAAAGGTTCGATTCTGGTGGCAAGCCAGATGTGGCTCCCATCCAAGAAACTTTTTGGGGAAGGTATTTTGCCAAAGGCTTGCGAGATACTTCTCAGACTTGCCCTCATCCCATGGTGCGCGGCATGTTCGCGAAGCTTTTCAGCGACACGAAGCCTTCGCCTGAGCCTGCCCAGTGTTGTGTTTGCATCTGTGTCCAGAGCTCATATGCGAAGGGAGGCGAGCATGCGCAGTGATCCTGGTCCTAGCTTGCAAAGGCTACCATATGATGACGAGTACTACTGGTCCACGCCGAACCCTGGCCCTGCGATCCCGACCTACGAAGGGCTTTATGATCCAGCATGGCGGATTTGAGAAGTGAAAAAGCGAGACGTTTTCGGCTAGCTGCCGCTGGGTGCCGCGTGCTTTTCGTACTCTAACCAGACCATAGTGCGCAACTGAGTGCTTTGTAAAGAGTTTTGGGGCAACCTTGACGGTTGGGCACTGCTCAGTACCTTGACAACACTGGGGCCGTGATGGCCTGCCTGAACTACTTCAAAACGAAGTGGCTCAATACCCCCAATGCTTGTGTGCAGCAGTTTCGAGCTTTGGGGCATTGGGATGATTTTGCTCTGATAGACCCTGCATCGTAGGTTCGTCCTAGCCAGGCGGGAGGGAAAAAAAACCATGCAATCGAGCCATGCAATCGCGCATGCGAGCCTGGAAGACGAACTAGTGCAACAGGAAAGGAGTAATTAATTATGTAGTCCGCAGCTTGCCACATGCTTGAGTCTATCGAGTCGTAGAGCTACCGCAGCGCTGCAGTGCAAGGTTGCGGCATCCGAGCTGTGGGAGCGGCTGGGCTGCGGCTGCCAGGGACGTTGGTGAGGTCCGGAGCAGGGTAAACGGCGCTGTAGCTCCTGCTGCCGCAGAAGCTTCTGCTGTGGTCGTCATAGGTTGCGCCTGATCTTGCAGAAGTGTGACATCGGGCCAGAAGGGGCCAAGGCCCGGCTTGGCGCCAGAAGAAAAACCCCCGCAAAGATCGTTGCAGGCATTGGTCCTTCCTCCGACTTTGGAGCGCATGGAGCTGGACCTCTCGCCGTGACCTCGGCACCGGAGGGGCCTTGCGACAGGCAGAAGCAGCCCTCTTGGACCCTTGGACACCAGAGGCCTCAATCTTTGGATCTTCCAAGGCACTGTCTCATCGGTCCGCTTGGAGCTTCCAACCTTCAGGCCAGGCAGGACTTGCAGTTTCGATGCAAGGAATGTCTGGAGGCAGCACCGTTCTGCTTTGAGTGCACCGAGCTACGCTGAGTTGCCACGGGGCCTGGCTGAGCTGGACCTGAGCCTGCTGCGGTGCGGCGTCGGAGATCGTGGTGCCAAGGTGCATCCCTGTAATTTGTCTGAGTCGCGGTTTCGGAGTAAGCAGTAGCAGAAAGAGCAGAGCCAAATCGGAGCACACAGCTTTCTCGCTGTTTCTTGCTGTGACATCGTCCGCAGCCGTGAAGGCATTCAAACACCGAGAAATTTAGTGCATCAGCTGGGCCGCCACCTCGAGGCCAGACGATGAAGCAAGAAGAGAGTGTATGAGATTTGTTTTAAGAGCTATGAGGGTGTGATGCAGACAACAATTCGAAAGGTGTTTCAGTTCGTCATACATCTGTCACAATCCAGCCCAAACTCTCCGTTCTGCACTCGCTCAGCACGCGTTTCCAAGGCAATGCAGCCACCCTGGCTGAGACGCTTAGCACGCAACGATCCAACTTCGATAGCTTTGTTGAGTGGGAGAGTCGGCTCCAACATGAGATGCCAAGGTGGCTATGTGCTGGCGGTGTGCTGGACACTCGCGGCCAGTGCTGGCCATGGCGATGCCACTGCCACTAGCAACCACACCGAATGCGGTCAGGCCATGCTATAGCGCTCTGTGGATGATCATGTTATCTTCATAGAACTGCAGGCATGCTAGCAAAGCTTGTCTGGCCACCGAGATATCAAAGCATGGATGGTGCTTTTCAAGAGCAGGTTTGTCTTTAAGTCGCCCGAGGTCGTCAAGTCTGGCAGAGGTCGTCAAGTCTGGCACGGTTCGCCATGCAGCATAGATATCCCAAATTCACGGGTGCTGATTAGACCTGCCGACCCGCAGGTCTCCGTCCCAAACATAACTATAGTTTAATAGTCAACATCGGACATTGAGAACGATGTAATTGTGCAACGGCTTATTCAACGGTACTTCAACAGCGAGAGGCCGCCGGAAGGATGGTTTGCAGTTTGAAGCGGCTATTGAAGCTGGCAAGTTTGCATTTCCTCCTGTTGACCTAATGTATGCTGCATATTCAGGACCATCATCATGCATGGTGGAATCCTGATGAACCTTGGGAGCCTATGCCGCATTTCTACGCAAGATGCCCGCCAAGACGAAACAGGTGCTTGCTGCAGAACTAGCCACATGCGCTCCCGAGGAATTCGAGCATTTCGAAGAAGTGACCGTGGTTGCACTTGTTGGACTCACATTGCCGCTTGGCCACAGAGCGTGCGGGAGCTTCGATGGGTTTCAGAGGAGATTGCAGATTACAAGCATGGCAGCCTCCGAGGCTTGTTGATGCGGTCGAGCACAAGCTAGACCACTTGGCCGAGCATTCACCTGCCACTCCCTTATGTTCTGCTGGTCATGGAGCCACCACAGCTGTCGTGATGGCATTCCGTTCCCGATGTCTTCAGGCATACGAGGAGGCATGCAAGCATGGCCGGAAGGAGACAGTGCTGCCAGTTTTGAGATTTGATTAAAGAGGATAATGCTCGTTTGTCCGGGAGGAGGTGGCAGCACATGATCTTGAGAAGAAAAGTATGGAGCCCGTCTGGGGAGTTTTTCTGAATCGCGCAACGGCGGAGTTCACCGTGCTGGGCATTCTAGATCCTAGGTTGCAGATGCAGAGCCTATCAGAGAGCGTGCTCTGTTCACGATGGAAAGCTGTAAGTTACACGAAGCAGCGTTTCGTTTCGGTCTCCGGGATGGGTCGTGGGCCGTTTTTGGTTCGCGCAGTGTTCGCGCGGTTCTGCTCCGTTCGATTTGGCCGGATAGCGACACCGGGGGTGGAGGAGTGGGAGTTGGATGGAGCCGTGGGTCTTGAAATGTGGTTCGTGACGCAGTGGTTCTCGGTTCCCAGGGATCATGTGAGTGGACGGTTCCCTGGCGGTTCGGTTCCGGTTTGCTGTTCGGTTCGCGGCTTGATTAAGCTACTTTGGGTGAGATTTCCAGGTGCTGCGTCGCGCCACAAGTAAGCGATTTGGTAGGCTTGTCCATCCAAAATCCACTAGGTCGATGCCGACAATCGACATCAACAATCGGATCTCTATGGGTTTCCTTAAGATGACAGGGGTGACGGAGTTGCGGGCTTACGAAGACAGGCTACAGGGTGTTGATGGTCGCAGGGAGACACGCAGATGTCGGCGGATGCACGAACTCGTTGCCTCTATCGAAGCGGTGGCAGAAGCGGCGGGAAATCCCTTCTTGGCTTAATCGATCACCTCAGCCAAGCACAGATTCCACGAAGATCCAGATCGTATCTTGTCACTCCACCCAACACACTCATGGTATCCAGTTGCGGGCTCCATCTGGCAAGGCCTCATGTTGATTTGTATGTATGGTCAGGATGTCCATGGCAGAGAAGATGGCGTCGCAATTAAGAATCCCATCCGTGTGCTTGTCGATTGCACTCAAACTTGGCAGGAGCACGGACATCAGCACGCATCAACATAACTTGGGGAGTTTGAAGCTTTTGATATTAAACTTTGTCACTGGAGCCCAGCATACGGTTCTACATAGCACCGGATCGATTCCATGGGTAGATCGGTTGTCGGGTCGGGGCATGTTGGGGCTGTAGGCGTTCGGGCAGTCGTTGAGCATTCGTTCAGAGATGGTAGCCGCTAGGACTTCAAATGCACGATGTCTCGAAGTCGCTGCGTCAACTTGACTTGAGGCCTTCGTGCTCTGGCTCTGCCATTCCCTGGGGGCCTTCACTGCCATTGAGTTGGCATTCGACCACGTGCAGGACATTGCTCTTCCCACGACTGCAGAGGAGTACCGGCACACCACGGAGAATGTTCACATGAGACCGTGCAGAAGTGGCATGCTTTTCTCTCGTATACTGTATGGTGATATCGATTTTAAACCGGCCCGGCTATAGGTGGCTGATGCTCGAAGCATTCGGTCCGTAGAGCAGAAGTATCCGCCATCTCAACGGCAGGGCATGCCTTCCACACATGCGCACCAATGTCGCTGACATAATGCACGTTCCTGTTTTTGGGGATTCATCCTTGCTAGCAGAAGGCACCTGTTCATGACCTTCTTCCTTTACTACGTCATCGTGGGCTTGAGCTTGGTGAGGTCGCAGCATAATATGGCATCCTGGGCGGTTGCTCAGCACGATACATGCCTCTGTAGGGCAAGGATGGGTGACGTCGTTTTGGCCATGATGCAGGCTGGAGGTGGAGGGGTACGAGTTGTGATGTCGGGCCTTTGCTCACGAAGATGAGCTTCACCGATTTTCTGTTGTGGTTCCACTCCGGACTCTAAGTAGCCCGGTGTCTTGCGGAGGGATCCTGTACAAGTCTCCTTCCCTTCACGTTGACGCGTAACGAGGACGGCAATGTGAACTTTGCCTTTGGATGCCGTTGGTTCCGAGGTCGTGTTGCGTTGCAGGGTGGCAAGGTGCCAAGCGTGACTCCAAACTCAAGGAATCGGATGCATCTGTACGAGGCACCCCGTTGCTGGGAACATCGTTTAAGCCAGCGGCGAGACAAACAAGCCGCCTAGCGTCCACAGTCTACTGCTCCATACAGCAGTGCCGCAGAAAGTGACGATCTTTGTATTGACGCTCCATTCGGTTGCTGCGCTCGTGCTGTACCATTCACCTGAGGCTTCGTCCACAGCCTTCCACGACGAGAAGGGCAAAACCAAGCATGTTGTCGAGAAGGCTCGCACTCTGCATGTCAAAGTTCTGAAGGCTGCCACGTTTGCGCTGGTGGTGCTCCCTTGTGCGGTTGGGGTCCGGCCCTGTGCTTGCGCTTGACAGATGACCCTCAAAGCGCTCAAAGCGACGTCGCATTCGCATTCGGACACCCCCGTCGAGAAGGGGTCCGGTGACTTCATCCTCATGCGCTGCTCGCGAAGCATAGAAAAGAATGCAAAGAGTCACAGCAAGGGTCAGGTTCGATGTTTGGGCAGTCGCACATCGAGCAGGTCAGCAGCAGCGAATCAGGGAACAGCGCAGGTTTGAGGGGATTGGCTGGTAGTGGTGCACGATCGGTGTCTCTAGATTCATTAGATTTTGCTCCGGCTCCATGCTGAGTTGGCCTCTAGGAGTTTGCCATTCTGAGCCATTCACGACCCTGAACCCTCTGAGGTCAAACATTCCTGGAAGCGCTTCAAGCTTGGTCTGGCAAATGGGAACCTCGACATCAACAAGAACGACCTAGCTGAGTTTGGTGTTCTAGTATCGTATTGCAGAGCTGTCTTCGGCCAGGCGTTTTTCGACGAGACGCTGCTTGGCAGCACTTTGGGAAGGGCCGGATCATCGCCATCATCAGTGCTGAATCAAGACGAAACTTGTGCTGTCAACTTGAAACTTGCCAAAATGCTGGAGTCGGACGTTGCCCGACTCCTAGCTTCGCCACAACGATGCTTCTGCGAAGGCTGGGCAAGACGATCGGAAAGGCTGTGCCGGTGGAAGACGGAGGCCCTGCCTGCGAAAAGCATCTCGGCGTGGCCTCACTTTGATCACTTCTTGTGCGAGCCTGCAGGAATCGTAAAGTATCTGGAGCCGTGGTTTCCCTTCGGACATTATCTTCTACTGAACTATCGCGCCTCAGCTGCCGTGATGCGATGACAGGTAGTGCAGTCAAGATGCGACGTGCGAGAAGTTTGCCAGGCTTCTTGCTTGACCGTGTGGTGGTGATCCACCCGGTGGCTCTGACATCAATGATCGTCATCAATGGCTGCTTGCATGGCACTCCCCAGGTGTGACTGTACTGCTGAAAAGCTCTTCTTGTGCACCGGACTGAGGCTTCCAAGCTATCATCCACCGTTTTTCGTACGATTTCGAGTTCCACTTTGTTTGGATCATTTTCTTCACGATCGAAACTCGACTTCAAACAGCTGCGGCCTGCAACCTTGTTTGGCTTTTGCCATCAAGCGTCCTAAAGTCACGCGTACTTCAGCTTTGCAGTGTCACCACTGAGATTACGGCGGTACTGTGGTTTGGGGCAGACAAGATGATTAGAGATCTGAAATCAGGCTCGCTCCTTCGTGTGTACTGCCAAATGTAAGACAGCTGTTGATTGCCAGGCCTCCGCAAAAGAATCCTGTCGTATCCCGTGCGAGGCAGCTACAGTCACGGAAGACTGGCAGATCCACGATTTTCGTTCTTGCATCAGATCCTGATCTGAAGCTGTCGGCGTTTCTACTTTATTCAATTCAGGATAAGAGAGTGTTGATTCAGTAACCTAAGCCAGTGTATCATTGCAAGCATTGCTCAGTTCGAAGCTGCCGATGTACCTTTGCCTCATCTTGCAAATCTGCATGGTCTACATTTGCTTCGAGCTGACTCGGCCACTGGTTTCTTGGCCCGGCTTAGCATCACCGTGTTCTAGGCGCTGAGCCAAGAGCTCGGTTGCCTCAGTTGCATAAGACGACGCCTGAGAGGCTCATGACGCTGCATGGCAAATAGACTACTGGCGATCAGTCGTCATGCGCTTAGCCGAAGACATCGTGACACAATTCACAGGCATGCACTGACATGGAGCGCGACCGCAGCCTGCCATACTGAGTCCCACGTGATCACGTGCTTCACCATTATGCCTCTCTTTGGATGGCTCGTGTGGGGATCCCAAGCCTGCACTTGGACATTATGGAGTCTGGCGTTCGAGGCATATCGAGTCACGCAAACCCGGCTTCTGCGTATCGCATTTCGGCGACCTAAACCCAGGAAATTTGCTCGCCCGGCTTGCTATGACCCTGTCCTGCGGCTTCATGATCTCCGAAGAGCAGCCCAACCAAATGGTCTTTGGAGTTCTTACGAGACAGTGGTGCTCGCAACTTCTTGCGACAATTCAGGGCTCGATGTGGCGCTTGTGTAGCTAGATGTGGAGTCGTTTGTGTGAGTGACTGTCGTTAGCTTCGCATGGTGTTTACACTTCTGCATTGTCGCTGAAGAATGCGAAAAGGAGCGCTTGATGGCTTGGTATTCTTAATCCTGTCTCCTAAACGTGGCACTGAGGAACATTCTGCGTATCCTGGCATCAATTTAGATCTGGGTGGAAATCGAATCAGACATCTGGTTCTGGGCCGTGAACAACATGAAACAACACATGTGCAGAGATCCCTCATTGTCTACAGCATCAGCCGCCCTGTCATTTGGCTCTGAAAGATAGTGATAGTGCTCTTGAATGCTGGCACGAGGCATACAAGTCATGGTCGAAATGCACATGGAGAGCCGCTTGCTGCAAAGAATCGTGTCGTGATGTTCGCGCAGTTGCGATACGAGACGGCCGTGTCTCCAGATGGTAGCGGCAGTGCTCGGCTTTGCGAGGTATCGGAAAGGAGAAGAAGGAAGTTTCACATCAAGACGTCCAGACGGACCTGAGCCAGGCGCGGAGCAAGCATTCCGAAGGGTCCTCACACAGCAGTCATGTGGTTGAGGGCACTTGCTGCAACGGACTGACGCTACAGTGAGATCCAATATTCAGCTCGGGTTGCGCGAAACGATCAGCCATGCGAGGCTCACACTACGGTGGCACTGGATTCACTATGACTGGTCGCAGCCAGAGGCTGCGGCCCGGACTGAGCCATCCTTTTCAAAGTTTTTACGATGCTTGTGGTAGCCGTGTGGCTGCCCATTGTCCAAACGCAGCCCCGACATGGAAGCTGGGAGCATGGGCCCAAGTCCCAACCGCTGGACGAATTAAGCGACCAAGCTGCCTGAGTAAACACGGGCACGAGGTACTTTTTGCAAAGCACGTGGCACGTGCTGAGAGAGGCACTACGACGGCTGCATTAATTTGTGCTTACTGGTAGGTCCGTGGTTCGTATGCTCAGCAGGTATGCTCAACACAGGTTCTCAGATAGAGCGGACCCGCCAGACATTTGCTTCCTCTATCACCATTTCAACCCAAGAGGTGTGGAGAGGAACTCGGTTCTTGGAAGCCCAGCGAGCCAGGAAGACTTAGCTGGCGAAGGCTAGATTCGACATTCAGAGCGTAGCTCTGTATGTGATGGCTTTAGCTCCCTTGGCCACACTCAGCTCAAGCTGTCACGGCCTGTAACTGGGAGTTTTGTGGCTGGCCGATTGCACGTTAGGCTTGGCATGTGCAATGGGGTAATTGAGGTTGGACATGTGACACACGACTTCGACCGACTTCCAATTAGAGCCAAGTACAAACAATCGGCACGGCCATTTGCACACAGGTCCTGAGAATTTCAGGCTGTTCTGAACGTGCCGGTCCGTTTTGGTGCGAACCAACCGTGTGGAAGCAAAAAGTTGGTCCGCAAGCTACTGATTGTGAGGCTGTTTGGACAGACGGAGCTGGCAGTGATGCGAGTTTGAGACCCTTGGTCTTGTGAAAAGCTTGTGGTGTGAGGCCCTCAACCTGCTTGATTCTCGGACAGCTCAGTGCAAGACTGTGGCGGTGTAGCTGCAGGCGACATCCTCTTTGAGTTCTGTCCCAGAGGCCTGATAGCATCCGGAAGCTGCGCTTGGACTTGGCCCGCTGTGCCAGAGACCCAGATCGCTTTGGTAAGTCCGGTAACTCCGAGCTGCCGCATTCGCCGAGGAAATTGGAGCTGAAGGCCTCAAAGGCCTACGGACCTTCTTGTTTTGAGAGAGCAGCGGGGGATGCTACCAACAAGCTGGATCGGAAACGCCCGTCCATTTACGCGTTGATGAATTTCGGATTTCAAGAAAGTTGAAAAGGATAACGCGAACTCCGTCGTTCCCAATTGCTGTCATAGTCATCGTCGCCACCGTCGTCGTATGTCGTCGTAATATCTACTGTAGCGCCTTTTCTGTGCGCATGTTGTGCCGAAATCTGGAGGTTTTGAGACATCTGTTGGCTTTGGCTTGTGCTTGAGGTTGTGACGAATCTTGGTTGTTTTTCTTCGAACCTACGCCGACCTACGCGAGACTCTGTGCATGTGCTTTGCGGCGACTTGGTTGGCTTTTGCGATGATGGTGGACAGCCAGCATTGTCTTACTTACGGCGAGCACACATTCTCTCGATCTGTGTTGGAAACGGTGGGAGAGGCTCTGGTGCCGCTGAGACGTCTGACTGGCATCCCTGACTACTCACGTAACAGCAGGAGAGAGGGAGGACGCGACCAAGAGCGACAGCAAACTCGATGGTATTGTCATCGTGCAGATGCCTCTGAAGCTTCATAGGCCTTATATCGAGTAATGAAAGCAGGGCTCGCCATGGCACGAACCGTTTTACGTGAAACCGTAAGACAGGCGGAATCCGGAAGGTGCCATGCTCTTTTTTATGCTCTTTGCAGGCCTGCGCTTGCCTGGGCGCCTGACCAGCCTGGTGCTAGCGCGGCTCTCGGCTCTCGGCGGGAGATTGGCATCGCGCACACAACCTGAGCTGCTAGGATCTGACAATGTGCTCGGTTGGACCAGAACAGCTCAAGGCTCCGAGTAGGATCGGTGAAATTCAGATGCTTCACGCGTTATCCTGGACCGGAGGCATTCATAGCGACCTTGCCGAAGACTTTAGAGGTGCGCATGCTGCACTGCGCAGTGTCAGAAGAGGGCAGCGCGCCAGCACGTGCGAGCCTGTTCACGTCGAACTATGTAATTAGTTCTCTTCTTGCCAGGCCTTGGAGATGAATTTGACGGGCTGCAAGGCACACTTTAGGAAATGAGCTTTTTGTGGAGAAGGGCAGTTCCGGTTACGGGGGCTGAACATGCTCACGCGCGGCAGAGGTGTTGCAGCCTGTCCGACAACGCACGATTAAGCTTTAGGGCCTTAGGGCAATGCACAGCGCGGCAAGGTGAAAGAGGCTTCTGTCGCGATGCTCCAGCAGGCTAGGGCTTCAATGTGGAGACTGTACTGATTGCATCTTGCCAGCTGTGATGTGGCGCAGGGCTGTGCAACCTGACTCACGTAGTACCCTTTGCCATATACAGCTCACTTTATTTTGGACTTTTGAATGTCTGCGGAGCCTAAGTCTACGGAGAAGTCCCTGAAAGCTAAGACAGCTAAGAGCCAGGCACGCATCAGGGTCAACAAGACTTGAGGGCACAAGGAAAATGCCCCGACCTCTCTGGTCAACCAGATTTGAGGGCACAAGGAAAATGCCGCGCGTTCCGACTTCTCTAGCGAACGTTAAGAGCTAAAACAGCTACAAGTCTACCCAGCATGATGCGTCTTCTTGGCTGGGAGATCAGAAGGACCAACTGTCTGCCCAAAGACTGAGTCAGGATGGCTGAAGGCTAAAGTTCTACGCAGTTGGGATGGCTTCGGAACGATGCCGCGTACATGCCGCAGTTTTCAAAATGTCGGCTGCCAACCGCCGACAAGTCAGAAACATGGCACTGGGACACGGAGGACCTCGAACTTGGGCGCGAGGGTGAAAGTTCTTCGTTGTGCTGCTCTTCTTTCGAAAGTGCAGTAATTTGGAAGGGCCTGGTAAAGCTTCATTCAAGACGAAATCTACGACATGTGGATCATGCAATCTTCAGATTAGGCCGTCAAAGCTCGACTGCCGCTGATAGCAAGCCCCAGCCTCGGTGCCGCAGTGGGACGGCCTTTTTGGTTGATTTCATGTCGATACCGACAGCTGGACTTTTGACAGCGTCTTTGGGTTCATGTGAGGCTTGATTTTGTTGAGCCGGTTTGGCTTCGGACCGAACTTGGCTTCCCAAGTGCAGCAAGCATTTCGCAGCGAGGTCCAACCCTGGTGGTCTAGCGCGGCAAGATTGAAAAAGATGCATGCGGTGCTGACTGCAACCTACCGACGCAGCCGTCGAATAGCACGATGATAGCTCGGCTCATACGGTGGGTACCTGCTGTCGCCGTAGGCAAGTGTCAACATCTCGTTGAGGCATACTAGCCGCTTACTAGCCTTCGAATGCATTCCGGGAACTTCAGCTTGCGATGGCATATGGCGTGCATGGAACGGGCACACAGACAGCAATGTTAACAAGACTGGTACAGGGCACCTCCCGCAGCCAGATGCCGCAGCCACAAGTTCATCCAGATTACGTCCCAGCTTTGCATCGAAATTGTTACATAAGCGCCGTGTCATGACGTCATGAAGCTAAATGCGATGGTGTAGATTGCATGGCAGCAGAGGGCGGCCGGGAAGTCGTCTCACGTCTTCGAGGCTCCGCTGAAGCGACTTGAAGCTCCGAAGTTGCGAAGGGGACGAGTTGCAGACCGAGTAGTGAACTGCAAGGGCCCGTGCAGCGAGTGGCCGACGATGTGGCAGACGCGCCCCTTGGCACTCGGCCGTTAGAGCATGTACCGCAGACCAAAAGAAGGTTGGTTGGAGAGTTAGCACGAGTTCGAGGCTGTTTTTGCCGCCCTGCGTGCTCAAGGTGGGGTTCTCCAGCGAATTCGAACAGAAAGCTTGTTGAGTTGCTGACGTCGTGTCAGCGTGAGGTCCGCAAGAAGCAACCGCGACACTGGGCGAGTGCGAGCTCCGGTCCGAACCTTCAGAGGGCATCCCTTTCACGAAGGGCACCGTCCTCGCAGCGAGCTCCGTGTTCTTGCTGCGTTGGATTTCGGCTCGAAGGGAGTCGTAAGTCAGTAGCCGCGGTGGGCCGTTTCCCTGATGCCACGGAGACGATCCCCTGCGTTATTGCTGGGCCTTAGCCTTCCTTCGCTTTTAAGCTTGGGCAGGTTGGGATCACTCTTTGTAGGATGGTCAGGAGCTCGAGGGAGAGCGGAGCGGAGTTCAGAGCAGCGAGCTGAGCTTTCTAGCAAAGCGACCAAGCAGCTTTGGGATTCGGCTTGGGATGCCTTGGTCCCTGCTGGGGCGGACGGCAGCTCTATCAGCAATCCGGAGCTGCTTCGGCTGGTGAAAGAGAGTATAGACGAGACTTATTTCGACGACGATGGACTCCGGCAACTTCCAAGGGTGGAAAGCCTTCCCGGTGGAAAAAGTTTCTTTGAGCGGATGAACGACACTTTCTGGGCCTATGGTCCCGTGGTTGTCGCGCCTCTGGGGCCGTTGCGGACGATCGGTATCTCGGATCCTGGCATGGTCAAGTGCCTTCATCGCACCTTTAGACCAAGCATCGGCAAGCGCTTGAGGCCCCACTTGTGTGCAAGATCCAATTGGACATGCTTGGACGAGCGTGGCTCAGGTATATCCTCTCGCAGAGGGAACTGTTCGGCAAGGGGTTCCTTTCGGCGGTTGGTCAGGATATCTTTGGCAAGGCGCTGATTACAGCAGCGGCTTCTTGATCGCAATCACTTCCTAAGCTGATGAGTCGAGTGGTCCGCTTGCTCCATGTCGCGACAACGTCGCGGTTTGTTGCACATGTAGATGTTTTCATGGCCCCATATGAGCTATTTGCATAATCCCAGATGCGCATGCCTGCGATCAATGCCCGACTGGAAGACCCAACCCAGGATCGTGAACTTTGGCAGTCGAGACGAGCTGCAACAAGTGCGGGAGCTTTTGCATGCATCGAGACTGGTAGAATTTGTAAGCGTTTGTGTTTTGCAGCAACTGCCGAGCACCGCCAAGGCTTCCACGCACAGTGGCTGAGGAGCCTTTCTGAAGATTTTGTCCACTGCACTGCCGGCCCCTTATCAACTTATCGAACAATAAGGGAACGACTGTTCCGACAGCGCAAGATCTAGGAACGTTCGTCTCGCTGACTGAACTTCAGACTCAAGCCATGCGGCTACTGGATGATCGGGTCCGGTATGAAGAGGCCATCCCGGCTTGTGCCGACGGGCTAGCATGTGAACCAGCTTGTCATTACTCTCACGAACTTTCCCCTGCCGTTTGCCGTAGCACACCAGAGTCACCAGAGCATCGCATTTCCGCGAGGTGGTAGACATGGAAAGCTTCTTTTTGAACTTGGCCCTCGACACTGTTGGTCGCACCATCTTCGGCTACGACTTTCAAGCGAGCGAGCAGCCTCCCAACAGCCCGCAGTCGCCGATTGTCCGGGCAGTCTACAGGGTGCTGAAAGAGAGCTTGAGCAGCACTTACATTATATGTCGACGCAGGATTTCCAGTGGCACAGTGTAGTTCTGTCAGGACAGAGTACAGACAAGCCAACCTTGCGAACCTGCTGTTCATGGGGGCTCCGGACACATTGGTGGACGTCGCAGCTCCAAGCGTGGCAGAGTACAGGTCCCTGGCCCGAAGATCCGTAGCACGAAGTGCCCGAAGACGCATGGACTGTGCGGACAGGCAGAGCCTTCGGAGCATTGATGCCGTACTCGACGATGTCGTCGGTGCAGCGTTGCTTGAACAGAGGCTCACAGATGAAGCAGACGCTCTAACTGCAGTATGCCTACGTAAGTGGAAGGGATTGGAAGGGCTTCTGAGGATTGCACGAGCAGGCCAGCGGAGTCGTCCTCTCCTGCTGCCTTAGAATACTATAGAAACAACTATAGAATCACGAGAAGTACGCATTGGCCAGTCGTCTGAGGAACTTCGTCGCCGATCCGGCGGAACGCTCCTCCAGTTCATCGTGGACCTCCGTGGAAATCAAGCGAACAGAGAACAGCTCCAGGAGGGCCAATCTATTGTAGCCTTTGCCTTTCATAATCCTTCTGAAACCTCTATAGTCTCGATAGAATAGCTTGAAAGTGCTTAATTACCCTCTTTCCCGGAGGATGACCTGCGGACATTGTTGATTGCCGGCCATGTGCCCCGAGCAAGTTTAGACTAGATTCTATCAATCCGAGTTTGGGCGCCTTTGGGGCATCCGAGGAAACAGTGGCCAGCACGCTAACATGGGCTATCTATGAGCTGGCCAAGACTCCCGAGGTCATGGCGAAGGCCAAGCGAGAGGCGCCTTGGCTTTGGGGCAACCCAGCTATTGCTTTTATTGTTATTATTATTGTGTTTATTCTTCTTCTTAGTATTCTTGGTCTTATTGTTCTTCTTCTTGTTATCATTATTACTACTTCCACCACTACCTACTGCTACCTACTACTAGTGCTACTGCTGCTATTGCTCCTACTACTGCTGCTGCTGCTGCTGCTACTACTACTACTACTACTGCTGCTGCTGCTGCTGCTGCTGCTGCTACTATTAATAAGGAAAGAAAGAACTATAATGACGATAACAGAATAATTATCATCATCATGTAGATAACAATAATGTGCCACGTTCCCTTGGCCTGATAACATGCAGCTGCAGGTGGAGAGAGTCTTGGGTGGTCGTTCCTCACCCACGTACCAGGACGTAGCCTGGCTTGAAATCCTTTGGCAGTCAGGTTTTACTTCGGCGGGGATGGTAGAGTCCCTGCCGTGACATGAGGGATGCGTGTTGTTCGAAGAGACAGGAATCAAGAAGAGCAAGGGGAAATCAAACGAGGTCATCTCCGGATGCCTTCCAGGTACAGGTAACAAGAAGATACACGACGGAAGGGACGTGTTTTGAACGATGTCTTTCGTGGTCGTGGGGAAATCCCGACCCCTTGAGAAGCGTTGGACAACATTTCGAACGGTGATTAATGTGGTCCGGCTTTAACAAATTTAAACATTGAATACTTCTGCAAGAGAATAACTGCATAAACAGCCAGGAGGTAAAGCCGGTAGAATCTGTATTCGGGCCCCAGCATGGGTCCGGCACTTGGCTTTGCAGCCGCCATGTCTGGTGCAGGTATTGCTCCAAAAGGATACGCCCACAGCCCAGATGTAAGGCATCATGGCGTAAATTGTAAAGGTAAGCAGTTCCGGTAACCCTTTTCCGCACTTTGCCGCACTCTGTGGAAGATACTGCTTCACACGACACGTCCGCAGACCCGTGAAAGAATCGTAGCTCCCGAAGTTCTCTGTCAGACTGGCGAACACTGGATAAACAGCCAACGAATTCTTTTGCGCACCGCAACGTTGGGATTGACTGTGTTGTGGGCTTCGAGCCCTTAACATCGGGTGCGTAGGTCAAAGACCTGAAGTACATCAGGTTCGTGCTGACGGAGGTGGGCTGACATTCCGAAGCCATGCGGAGCTGACCTTATGCTTTGCTGCAATACATGCTTGGGCCTGTGGTGCAGACTTTGCGGCTGTTTCCAGCACCACCAGTGCTGGCCCGGAGCCCACTTCAAGCTGTCACGCTGCCGGCAACAAATGGCAGCAACGTGACTTTGATTCTCGAACGGCAAGCGAAGGATTAAGAGCTGTGTCACATGAGCTCTTGTTTCGGAACAGTCAGGAATAGCATGCTGTTGCTCAGGAAGCGGGGATCTTTGTTGCTGCTTCAGCTAGCACAACTGCATCGACATCCCGGTGTCTACGAACGCCCGGATGAGCTTCCTGTTCGCACCAAGTGTCCTGAACGCTGCATTGTTGTTGGGAAACGCCTGGCCTGGGCATTCTGCCGAGGTTTTGGCCGGAGCGCTGGGAACAGGCATTCAACTCCACTGGCATCTACGATGCAGGAGGCTTCGGGATCGTTTTGAAAGACTGAATGCAAATGAAGAGAAATGGCAAAAGGATGGCGCGGCTATGACCCGGTGAGGGTCACAGGCCGGGCCTTTGCCGCAGATATTCCAATGCACAGCCGATTTTTCACATTTTCTGACAAAGGCCTCTACCCCACGGCTGTTGCGACTGACTACGCTTTTGTTGGCTTCGGAGGAGGCCACCCTCTCAGGCGTTCTAGGCACGACTCGTCGCTGAGAAGTTTCAGAGTCGGCGAGCCGAGGCGAGTTTCAGTGCATCGGCGATCAGTTTGCCATGATCGAATCCACGATCATTCTGGCCATGCTTCTTCAGAGGTGTCGTTCTGTTTCGGGACAGGGACTTGAACAGCGTCCCGCGATGCACAGGTACGACTTCAAGCTCGTTTTCGATGATTTGGAGAGCATCGGCCTAGACATGGCCGCTACAATCCACACCAAGAGTGGGCTGTTGATGAGAGTCTCAGCGGTAGGCCCGCGACAGCGCGGAGCCATGTAGCCTGCACAACACGTTTTGTTTCGTGCAGATCTAACCAGATCATGCTGGATCTCCTTTGTGTTGGGAGCCTAAAGCGGCTCCCCGGCATGAGCTGTGGTTGAATTCATCGCTAGTTAGAACTTTCGGCTGGACACACAAGCCCACGCCCTGCTTTCGCTGCAGCTGGACAACTCGCTCGTGCGCCTGCGAGCAGAATGTGTCAGCCACGATGTCTGTGTTGCTGGTACTGTTGAGCAGCATCCGCTTTCCCACGGGGTCGTGGCAGTCGATTCTGAGGCTGGCGTCCAAACATTGAACAAAGTCAGGCCTTCTTACCATCTAAAGTTCCACAAGCTCCCGTCGCATGACGTGCCTCGTGCACAGGCAGCTCCCTTCCCTGCACTGGCAGGTGGCACTGAGGACTCGCCAAAGTCTAAAGAACTAATCGCTGTCAAGAATCTGCGGTGCATGTCCGGCGATCCTTGTAATGAGCACACCGTGTTCCCGCAGAAGCTTTTCGTCAACGCAAGAACACATGTCGTCGGCAAGGTTTATGGCAGTTTCAAGACTCTTGTGGGCACATTCCTGCTGTTTCAGCATCTAGCAAAGTCTTGAAATCTCCGGACAAGGAGAACTTGTTCGTCCAGGATGTCAGAGCTAGACGAGCCTTGGCTATGCACGGTGAAGGGTTTCATCGGCCTTCGAGGAAGTGTCGTGTGATGCTCAGGTGGACATGCCTGCTTTCGTAGAATTGTGTGTGCGAGGCGAGTGCAGGCGTCTCCATGGCGCCGCCCTCGGCGTACGAGTTCACCGAAAGCCAAGCTGAATCGCTCCACGATGCTCCCTTTTCGTTTGAAATGCACGCACTGCAGAGTTCCAGTCCAGAGCATCCATGATCCGCGTGGGCTTTCGGAGGGAGAGGGTCTCCAGAGTTTGGGGACCTGGCTTGCTTTGATTTGGATCTGCTGTGGGTATGGACGAGTGCGCACTGCCAAACTCCGACGTGCTTTGGCCATTCCCCCTGGTGTCATGCTGTAGCTTTGCATCTCCCTTCTTCCTGTGTTTATGGAAGGGAGGCCACCAAGATATGCCAGCTAGAGACCATTCCAACGAGGTTCTGCACAACAAGCGCTCGTTGACAGCCTGGAGCCAAGAATCCCCTGGCAAGCATATTCAGCGGGGGCTTTGATGATCATGCTGCCCGTCTGGAGTGCCAGGCGACTTGTTCGGAGAGGCACATTGTCATTGCACATGGCTGTTCGTCTGTGCAACACATAGGTGAACATCACACAAAAGTCGGCTGAGCACGGCAGGCTGCGAGTGAAGAGGTGCTTTCCGAGCAAGGCCGGATCGCTTTCCGTGCTTTGCTGCGAGTTGCTGCGTGATGCAAGGCGATAGCCTCGCCATCAGCCCGAAGGATGAACCCTACGAGTGTAGAGCTTGGAGATTCTCTTTTGGACGACGTGTTTGGGAATGACGCACTGTGTGGAGTTCAGGTACGAACTTCTATCTCCAGAGGAAAGCAAAGCAAAGGAAGAGATCTGGGATGAGGCATAAGCGCATAAAGCAGATCAGCCGGGCTTCCTCAAGGCGCAGCGTCGCAGGTAAACAAGGACCTCCTTGAGTCCTTGCATGAGAGGAAAACGCACAGCCGGGGACCCATCAATTCCGCACATCAGCTGCAGTCAACGGTCATTGAGTCACCGAATTATGAGGCCGCAAACGAAAGCGCCAGGAGGCACGCAGCTTGAAGTGGCGGCATCAGCGCACGTTCCTGCCGCTGCGAAGGAAGAAAGGCAGATTGCGGACAGGCCGACGCCTGCATCAGAAGGACTTGGGCATTGTGGTCGGTCTGAACAGAAGCCCATGAGGTGGCAGAAAGAACAAAAGCAGTGCAGCTCTTAGTTTCGCCTTTGTCGCCAGCTGTCAGTTCTGGAGAACGAAGACGGTATTCATCGATTCATCCTGGGGCAGGCTACTCCTTCTGGAACAGGCGCGCACCCGTCGGATGCCGCCGACTCAGCGGCAACGAGCGAGTTGCGACATGATGCCGAACCGTGGCAGTAGCCTGCTGGCGAAGAATGGCTAGGAAAAGATTCCTGCTGTGTTTTAGATCCGCTTGCCCTCCTCGGCTCTTGCAGTCCGACATGGATTTTGCAAATGCGGTGGGGTTCTACACATGACGTCAACATGATAGTCAACGATAGTGTTGCTCTTGGTCAAAGGTCACGGTTGTGACCGCAACAGTCTTGACGTTAACTGGTGTGCTGAAGTTAGGGCGAAGCATGAACTGGACTGCACTCTTCGCAGGTGAGGACCGCACGGGAGGGAGAAAACTGCAGAAGAACGAGGCAAGATACTCGTCGTGCACTTCGGAGGCCGAGCCAAGGCACGGCTCACAAGCAGGAACTTGGGGCAAAAGATGCACGAGGAAAACTGAGTCATGCGCGCCAAAAGCGGTCGCAAAAAGGACAGCCATTCAACCTCGAAATCAAAGAACAGAAACTGGTTCGTGCAGCTTTCTCCGAAGATTCGCATTTTATGCCGTCGCAACACAACGCAAGACAACGCACGGCACCGCCCGGTCGGGCAAGCTCTTTGTTTGCTTGGTCCCCTACGACATGACCGTTTGCCCAGGCAGGGAAAGCCAAATCAGAAGAGGCCTGCGTCGGACATTCGGTTTCCCCACGATCATGTTCTGAAGAGCATGCATACATACATGCATACATACATACATACATACATACATACATATATATATATATGTATATCAAAAAACTCGGTGCAGTCTTGATGTATTGTGATAAGAGGTATGGGTAGCGGGAGCGGATCTTGAGTTGCATACGTACCGAGTCAGATGTCGGCCTTCGGAGTACAGCAACCATAGACATTCAACACGTGTCGTGTTGTGTCTGTTATGAGTGTGTTTGTGTGGGTGTGCGCAGCACCTGTCAAAGTTTCCTTAAAAGGGGCTTGCAGCATGCTCTCTGCCACCAGGCATTCTCGGCCAAGCAGCCGTGACGGACTCAACACGAAGAGCTGAGCACAGCGAGACCAGAGCCCGGAGAAGTTGTGTCCTCTGTTGCAACATATCGTAAGGCGACATTGAAGACTATGTTCCCTCAACAGAGGACCTCGCTGTTGCTAGCATGTTCAGTGCAGTAGCCACGATCGGAAATCAAATCCGATCACAGGAAGAGGATGAAGATTCCAACGAGCCAGAAGTCGACTTCTGGGCGGTGCGCGTCGACACGCTCAATACCACAAACACAGCTGTTTTGCATTCAAAGACGCGGTGGGATTGCAATCTCAAGCTTCGAATGCCAGGCGCATGCGGCAGTGCCTTGGCCGGGGTAGCGCTTGGAAGATGTATGGCCTCATTCACAATGTTCCGACCTTTTGCCCTATATTCGGTCCCTTTTTGCGGGCGTTTTGGCAGTGCAGTGTTATCCAACCGGCTCTTTCTGTGAAATGAGAGTGCCTCTCATGCCACGATGCTTGTCGTGCCTCAAGGTTTTCAGAAATGCTTGGTCATATATATTGAATGAGGCAAGACAGGCCCACGGACCATGCTCCAGCGTTATCCTGAGACTGCTCAGATCGTGCCAGCTGACAGCCCTCTTGATGTTGTTCAATGGGCATGGCTGTTGAGCATAGCATATTCAAGCCCGATGCAGACCGAACAGAGGTCTGCCTCCGGCCAATCGGACCCTCACAGCAAAGGCTGATCTGTTCTGGATGTTCAGTATCTGTTTCCGCCTCGAGACACTTGGCGTCAGCTTCAAGAGCAGGGTTGCCGAACTGAATAGTTGTGAAGGAGAAGATGGAAGCCGAACAGCAGCCGGGACCTCAGTTGCGAGTGGTTGTGCGACTGTGTGGGGCAAAAGCCCCCGACAAGTCAAGCGCGCCCGGCCAACCTTAAGTAGTCCTGGAGTGGTGGATGTTCGAGCGGACCAGCCCACCACGGCCATCGGCTCAAAGCAAACTTTTGCGGGAAGTGGTTCATATGATGCAGACATGAAAGAACCGTAGCAACTGAGTCAGCACCTGCAGGACCGAGTTTCGAGCAAGGTACCACTGCAGCGGATCGTCTAGGAATAGTTCTGCATCAATTAGGACACCAGTTTCATATTCAGAAGCTGCAGCCTTTTGACGTCCACAGGCATGCCCTGTGAACATCGATGGATATGGACGGGGGAGAGGCATCTGTCCAGGTTGCTGTTCGGATTCGGCCTGTAAAGCAGCCGTGCCACGAAGCCACCGCAATTAGCTTCGTAGACAGCACAGTCGCAGTGACATCAGTTCATGGCACTGAGCAAACAGATGTGGACCACATCTTGGTGGAGACTTTTGACAAAGATGCAGAAGCTTCCCAAGCGAGAGTCTTTGAGCGTTTGGGCGAGCCCATCATCCGGGGAGCTCTACGAGGCATCAGCCAAGGAATCGTCTTTTATGGAGCCTCAGGTTCCGGGAAGACCTACACAGTGCTGGGGACCAGAGAAAAGCCTGGCCTCTTGTCGCGCCTCGAGAAAGCTCTCCTACGCCCAGACTTGTACGACACACCCAATGAGATTCGCGTATGGCTGCTTGCATGAAGTAGAGCTGTCCCCCCCAAGACACTGTAGTGCTTTTTTCCTGCAGCAACTAAACCTACTGTAAGGTTCAGCGCGTTGGAGATATTCAACGACCAGGCCCAAGACATGTTGGCGACAAAACCCTTGTCGGAGCGCAGACATGCTCCAGTCTTCCTTCATCACCCCGTCCTTGGTGTACAGGTGGTCGGTGCAACAGAGACTCCTGTAGAATCATGCAATGTGGAGGAGCTGATAGATTTCTCCTTGAAGCGACGTGCGCTTGGTCGCACATGCCTGCACGCATCGTCCAGCCGTTCCAGCCAAGTCTATTGCTTCCGGGTGGAAGTGCAAGGTGCCTCAGGTCACCCATCGACTGCGCGGGTGTACCTCTTCGACCTGGCTGCTCCGTCGGCATCACGGAGGGCCGCCTGCTCCTCACTGACGGCCTTGCAGACCACGGTGCGGGAGCTATCTGAAGGCAGCCGACCTCGAGACTCCACTTCCTTGGGCTCTCCGCTGACGCTTGCTCTTCGAGACGCATTGCAAGGCAGCTGGTGCTCGCTGCTGGTAGCCACTCTGTGTGCTGGAAGCCAGCACGCATCGGAATCTGCAGCCACGCTGCGGTTTGCTCGTGAGATGCGTCAGTTGCAGACTCGCCCTGTGGCTTCGAAGACGCGACCGGAACAGCTCCAACTGTTGCAGGAGGAAGTGGCAGAGCTGCGGAAGGAAGCAGACCAGCTGGGTTTGGGCAGCATGCTTAAGGCATCGCTGGATGACAGAAGCAGCCTCATCGCAGAGATCGTGAAGCAGACTGCATGTCAAACGGAGGAGAGTTGCAAGCTGGCGAGGCAGCGCACCAAGGCTCTGGAATGGTGTGGGTTGCTGACAGAGAACTCGGAGGATCTGAGACGGAAGGATACAACAACGCCGTATCTTCTGAACATGTCTGACGATCCTGTTCTTGCAGGCTGTCTGCTCTACTACCTACCACAAGGGGAGAGGATTTCCATTGGAAGTGATCTGGACAGCTCTATAGTCTTTGATGGCTTGGGCATCCTGCCCAATCTGTGCAGCATCATCAACAGTGATGACAGGCACCTCAGTATGGCTCGTCCAGACTTTGCTCGCCGGCATGTGCTGCACAATGGCAAGATGCTTACCACTTCCGAGAGTGTCCAGCTCTCTGACAATGATAGGGTTTGCCTTGGCAGAGCCCAGTTGCTTCTCTTGAAGATCCCTCTTCAGCCAAAGGCTGAGCCTAAACCACTCCAGCTGGAATGCAAGCTTCCAGGGAATTTGTCGGAGTTGCTTCCGGCCTTGCAGGTGCAAGAGGACATAACTTTTGAGATGGTACATCCTCTTCTTGAACACTCCGACTCGCTGAAAAATGTACAGTGCTACGTGAAGGACTTACTTCCCAAGTTGCCGGCCTCCAATGGTCTTGCTTGCTTCACAGTGTTGCGCGAAGTATGCTATTTGCTGGACGAAGCAAATCTGATTACTCGGGAGGTCAGGCCGGAGGATCACATGCATTTCCAGGTAGAACTAATCTGGGACATCGAGCGAAATCCGGAGGAGGTTCTTTTGATTGCTTTGATAAGCTACGGGAAAGGCATCCATACTGCACCAGCCACGGGAGCTTTACCAGATTGTCAAGTCCTCCACTACTGGTCGTACAGACGGTTCCTGGAGAAGCTGGATGAGATGCGGGAGGTCCATCGTCTGCATTGCCAAGGGCTGAACGGATGGACAGGTCGTGGGGACCCTTTCCATGACCCTTGGATGGAGAATCTTGGTCCGAGATCAGCTTTTGCTAGTTATTGCCGTATTTCTTAGTCTTGCAGTCTCACGAAGTCAAGAAAGAAGCGTCACCAGTCGGTCGCTACTGCCCTCAGCCTTAGCTCTCAAGGCCAAGTGCGGACGCGCTGAAGCAGTACGTGCTGACCTCTTCGTGTCAGGCGGCGACCACGTGTGGCTATGTGTCGATGGACTGGGCATGTCTTGTCGGTCCTGATAGGCTGATGCGTTGGAGCAGCTCTGTTTAGGTCTTAGGGCCTTAGGATGTGCAACAGGATTCAAGCTTGCTTGATCTCTCCAGGAGCATGGTCGTACACTGCACAAGGCATCAGCAGGCTACGCGACAGCCGAGGGCGATCAGCTGCGCGGCCGGATCGACGAGCTAGTGCAGGAGCTGGAGGAGAAAAATGCTGAGCTGGAAGAGAAGGACCAGATTGTGGGCGAGCTAAAGGAGCAGATGGTTCAGATCACGAACCTACTGGGCGGATTTGCACCAGAGGCTGCGCAGCGCTTTGTTTTGGAGCAGCCCGAGCCCGAGAGCCTTGTCTGCATTCTGAAGAGCGTGCCTTATGTGACTTATGTGAGAATTGTGACCATGCCGAAAGCTTGTACTGCTACTCCTACTACCCTGCCACATGCCAGGGCACCTTGCAGCAAAGAGAAGCGCGACTCGCCGCCAAGTGAAACTGAGCATTCCTGCACGATGACAGTCTCTGCATCCACATCGGAGGGTGGCTTCGGCGTCGGAGATACTCGAGATACTCGCGAGTCCCCGAAGCGCTCTCGAGGCTTTCGTGTGGACAACTTTGGTGCATCCAAAGGAAATCATGGCGGCGCTGCTCTGCTGAGCCAGTCCAGCCTAACCCCGCCTCATTACTACCGGGACTTGCGAAGATGACAGGGCCCCTCCGTCGTTTCACACTAGGACTTACTAGGACGAATTCAGAAGTGCACGCACCTCTCTGCGCAAATCTTGCCTTGCGAGATGCCGTGGAGCTGCAGAAGCCTTGGTTGTAGGTGCAGTCTCTGGTCGTTGCGTCGAGGCGCATCAAGGATCAAGCGAGATTCGCAAGGAGTATCAACGAGCTCTTCGGCCTGGAGCCAAGTACAGGGTATGGCTTCAGTAGCACTGCTTTCGGCCTCTGCTGTTCGGTGTCTCGTTTAAGTCTCCCCCGGATAGGTGAATGATGAAAGCAGCAGAGTGCGTTCGCGAGCGCGACTCAGACAGCTGAAACCTTGCAGCAGTATTGTGGGGCTTTACGTGACTGCTCTGTTTCAGGTGAACCAGTGAACCAGTGCGCGCGCGTGCTGAGATATTGGTCATACAAACCACATGAAAAGAGATCACGAGCTTGGTTGAAGGCATCGACCGCTGAATTGAAATCAAGTGTTGGCACAGGTACGATGCAGTTAGATCGCGCCGCAGCTGGTTGCTTCTGAGAAAGACCGTTAGTTGGCATTCGCATACCTTCATTAACAAGATCAGCAGTACCGTAGATCAAGGCACATGTTCAACTGTAGTAACCGAGAAGTCGGAAGTCAGGGAGGTTTGGCAAAGTGAAAGTTCTTCGTCTTGCACCTTCGTTTCCGCGCATGTCGGCCTGGCTAAAGGGCCATGCCAGCACAGCCGTGGCCTCATTGACAGCCGACTGATGTGGACATATGGGGTGTCATCTGCAAGCGGTCGATGTTCGACCGTGGCGAGGGCTATCGGCTTTTGCCCGATGACACATCGCCAGAGTCTGCAAGGCATCACACTGCATTCCGATACCATCAAGTCCTTCATTCAATTGTCAAGCTAAGCTGCGGAGGTTGGCCAAAGTGCTACCTGTGGATGGTCTAGGTCAAAGGAGCAGCAACACAGCAACGATGATGTCCCCTGCATGAGACTCTTGAGCAGGAGCCCCGACGACCGCCTTGGCACTTCAGGGGTGGAGAACTGAGTTTTCTCCCGCAGCTGCAAGAAGTCATTCGGAGAAGGGCATTTTGACATCTGAGTTGTCAGGACATTGTACAATTCATGTCCCATATCTTCTACACTGAAGAGGGCCGCACCTGGGCTAGCAACGAAATGCACCGAAAATAGCTTCCTTTCTTCTGGTCGGGCGTGGGCGCATGTGTTGCTTGTCAGGAAAGCACCAGGTGAGCGTGAAGGTGATCCGCATAGGCATTGTGCCCGATGCTGCCCCACCATCTTCTGCTTGCTGCCCCCCCCCCCCCCCCAGAACGTCCCTCACTGCAAGGCACTTTGGAGGGCGACTGTTCCGTCTCCTGCCACACCGAGGATATTGCAGAGACATGTGAGCTTTAAAGCAGTGCAAAAGCATGTGCAACATTGTCGCTCACTGGGCGGTCTACCTGTCGAAATTCGATTGGACTTTGTCGTTGATTCAGAAACTGCAAAGCATGTTTGGATTATCGGATTTGCCTCAGCGCTGGCTCAGTTGTAAAGGCCGAACTATCGGCGAGCATGCGGGTTCCCCATGACGAGAACTTACCGCCGTGGGATCCTTCATCCCCAGCTGCACTGCTTCACGTGCGGCAAGCAGCTGATGCCGCTTGCCTCCTGCACACTGGAAGGGTCAATCGGATTGCCGTTTCAAGACATTGAAAGCAGCATTGTTGATATCAGAGAGGGGCACGTGATGGAAATTTGCAGGTCTGAACCGAAACGGCCCGGAGCCAAACCCAGTTGATCGAACCTGGATTGAATCTGGGTTCGAGCCCCCCAGCTTAGTGCCACCGGCCTTGTTCATTCTATGTTGCGCATGCAGCTCAGCTGATGATACAACGCCGCAGGCCACGAAGCACCAAAACAAGGTGATCTTGCGGAATGCAGCAAGCTGGAGGCTGATGTAGACAAACAGTTTTAGTTCTCGTGCTTTCAGCCTGACTTGGCTAAGTGACTGAATGGGTTTACCTTCAGGCAGCTGGTGGAGCTGGTGGATGTTCTTGGTGAGACGCCCCACGCGCTGAACGCTTGCACGCTGCTGCACCGCCTGGCCAGAGCCGTGGTGCGAGAGGGCAGGGGCCTGTCAGAGCGAGCCCGTTTGCTTCGCAACCTGGCAGAGGCTTCAGTGAAGTCATGAAGTCATGGCTAGGCTTGACTCGCCTGGTCGCCAAGTGATGCCAAGGCAGCCTTGACTCTTTTCAACGGCTGTTGGAGAGAATTTCACGACTGGTTCCCGACTTGAACAACATGGAGTTGACCAACTGCCTCTGGGCCTTGGCCACCTTGGAAGCAACGGATGCAGCCGAGACGGCGCTTCTTACGCAGCTTGCTGCTCCATGGCGGCACTCATGTCCAGATCTTAGACAAGCTCGAGGTAGGCTGCAGAGTGCTCTTCTGCTCAAGAAACCGAGGCGGGAGCTGCCAAGTACTTGGACAGCTTTGAGCCTCGGAACTTGGCATTGTCTGCATGGGCTCTCGCCAAGATCGGATATGTGGACAGGGCCTGGTGTCGTCTTTGGGCGGAAGAGGTGAGCCGGAAGCTCGCCACCTTCGAGACGCGGGATATGACCAATGTGATCTGGGCTTTTGCCACTGTTCACTGGCGTGACGAGCGCTTCTTGACAAGGTTCTGCAAGGCAAGGCGTGGGCTCAAAGTACAGTGTAGAGGGGGAAGTCGCAAGGGCTGTGCTGTGAGTCGCGCACAGCCGTGCATCCCCTGATCTAATATTGGAGGAAGTTGAACTCAAAGCAGAGTACTACACTCCTCAAGATGTGGGAAACACACTCTGGGCGCTGGCCACTCTTTCATGGAGGAGTGATGCCGCACTGGCAGCCATAAGCAAACGTTGCTTTGACACCGCCAGCACCTTTGACCAGCAGAACCTGTCGATATCACTGTGGAGTTACGCAACTTTGGGCTACAAGACAATGTGGCTTGATAGCAGAATCAAGGCAACATAAGTCAGGGCATGTATATACAATTTGAACCGGGGGTGGCCAGCCGAGCGGGGCTGTCTTGAGCTTCCCGGCTGCAGTTTGGCCATTCTGCACCCTCGATCTCTAGATTCTGGATCTCTCCCCAAGCATCATTCCTCTCCTTTGCCGACACGTCTCTGCTTGAAATCTTAAGCCGCATGTAGCCATTGCGACACTTGTGCCAGGAATTTGTTTCATCACATGACCCAGATCATCACCGAGCGCATCAAGACTTTTGCATCTCAGGGCATTGCAAACGTTGTCTGGGCTTTGGCCAAATTCCAGTTTCAGCAGAAATGCTTATTGATGACAATCGCAGAAGAAGCCCCGCCGCGTCTTGACGAGTTCGATCCGCAGCACCTCTCCATCCTCGCGTGGGCCTACGCGACCCTGGAGTTCCCGAACCGGCCTCTTCTCTCCGCGCTCTGCCAGGCAGCAGTGCGGAAGATGGACATCTTCAATGCACAGCACATGGCCAACATGACTTGGGCCATGGCGACTCTGGCACACAAGGTCTCTCATGCTAGGGCCGGGGCTGCTGTAGGGCTGCGCAGTTGGGTGATTTTGCGCCGTGCGCGTCTGCCTGACAGGATGAGCGATACTTGCAAGTTCTGGCCTCCAAGGCCATGGAGCAGGCAGGGAGAGCAGGAGAGAACGGGAGTCAACATGGAGAAAGGCTACACACGACTTAGTACAGTACGACTTACTCCTAGCCATGTGCCTCGGTGCTGGAAGGTCGCGAGCTTCAATCCCCAGGAGTGCTCGAACTTGGTTTGGGCGTTTGCATTGCTTACGTTCCGACACGACCCACTCCTGCAGGCTGGGGTGTTTTGTTGCTGTCGAAAACACCTCAGCAGCAGCAGTGGCGCACTTGTGCTTATTGTGTAAGACCGGAACTGATGAAGTGGCCTGAGCATGGGGCATAGAACAAGCGCATGGGGTGAACTCAGGCCCTCAGCATTCGCTCCCAACAAATCGTGTCTGCCCCTTGACTAGCATAGCCCCATATTTTTGCTAAGAAAGACTTCTAAATGTAGAAGAGAGGAATCTGCATGGCGATGCATCCGAGGATTTCATTCCCCAGAACTTGGGCAACACAGCCTGGGCCTACAACCGTCTAGGATACCGGGACGAGAAGTTGATGGAGTGTCTGGTGAACGAAGCAGCTGGAAGACTCCACGAGTGCGCCGGGCAAGAAATTCTTGACCTCATTGAGTCCATATCAACCGGCGGATATGAGGATGCTGTGCAAGGGCCCCAGTGGAGTTCACTCGTATCTTGGGCTGGTCAGAAGTACGAGTCCGTGCAGAGGTTTGTGCAAGTGTCCAGCGATATGCCACTCGGCCTTCGCAAACTCTCAGACTTTGATCGGGCATTAGCCGTCCAAGACTATCGGGACCACATGGCAAGCTTCAGCTTGGTTGGCCTGGGGTTTACATACACATCCAAGCTACTTCGCGAGATGGGTGTCGTTTTGCTGGAAGGCCCTCAGCGTGAGAGTTGGCAGAATGCATCACAAGTGGCCGCAGCTCGGATAACTGGGACGGGCAATGAATCCGATGCGACTAAGAACACTGAAGCACAGGAAGGGTTGAAAGTTTGCCGTACAGTCTGCGTTTATCGCTATTCCCTCCGGTCCGTGACCGGGCAGACCAGTTCGGCGGAGCCGACTGCAGTGACCAGCGGGCCCGCTTCCGAAGCTTTTGAACTGGGGCTTTTCGCGGCAGTCTTGCGGCATCCACGAGGGGGAGATGGTGAGTTTCAAGCGCTTCAGGCATGTGCACGTCGATGTTTGGACTTGGGCTGTAATCCCATCGGACCACCTCCTTTGGATGGCTCTGCCATCGAGGGCGAGCTCTGGCTCCATGTCTCCGAGGTTCCATGTCTTTCTTGCGTTGGTGCTATGGCGCAGTTTAGGAAGCTCTTCCCAGACATCAAGATCCACATTGCTTTCAACCTGGGGCGTCAGCCATCACAAGATGCTACCTCGTCAGCGTCCTTCCAGGACAGAGATGCACCTGGCAGATTCACGCGTACATAGCCCTCTATAGTGGCAGATGGCCCTTGGCTAGGGCAGCAGCTCTATGCCGGCACATCGTCCTGCTCGCAGCTTCAAGTTCCTCAGAACGAAGCCTTACCAGGCCGCCGGCGACGCGGACGTTCGCCACCGGTGTGACCCATCCCCCGAGACCCCGAGAAGCCTGGCAGTCCTAGCGCAACGAGAACGCCCGATGACGGCTCCGACGCCGTCACCACTGTCCGCTCGGAGAAAAGATGCATTTGAAGCCTCTGCCTCTGGGGATTGCCTGTGGTCTGCTCCAAAGGCTCCACTTAACAGCATTGCCATGACATACTACCAGCAATGGAAAAGCCATGCAGGACAGCACTGCCAAAGCTGGTGAAAAGCTTCTCAGAGTCATATTTGAGTCATTTGCAAAGCGCGTTTTGCCTGCTTGGCATCTTAGGTACCAGCCCCTGGAAAGAGCCCCGGCTGCACGCAGCCACAGACCCCGTTTGCCTTGACCCTCCATGTTAATTTTCTAAGACGCTTGTCAAAACGTGGTGACATGGTCCACCAGAGATTGTCCAGCGGCAGCTTTAGTTTTCGCAGATAGCCGAGGTGTGCTAAGATTCGGACCTGGTGAGAACATGAAGAGCTTCGACATCGGGCTGAGACTCGATCAAAACAAGACGTGTTGACTTTGAAAGCCTCGAGAAGTGTCATCTACTTTGGCCAAGGATCGACGATGACAATTTCGACACAACCTTGGACTTCAAATGCATCCTTAGCGACCCAGAGGGTTGCACCGTTCAGCCGGACCAGACCCTGGGCTTGAGGCTGGAAACGGCCGCGAACGACGCATGTCCAAGACTTGATGTCCCATGTTGCGTGTCCAAGGAGCATTTGCCAAGTTCTCATTTTCGACAACGATTTGTTTCCCTCCAGTGCAGCTTGCCTAAAGCCTGCACTGCACCATGTCGCAAGCGTCCGTTCAGGATCCTTCAGGCATGTTCCGGAAAGTATAGGGCTGAGTAGAGTAGACTGCCGTCCCTGTGTTGTTGAAACTTTGTTTGCTCTTTGCAGCCGTTCATGGTATGCAGGAGTTTCGAGAAGAACTTCGAGATATGAAAACTGTTCAAGAGGAAGCTTGGCCAGCAAAAGAGCACTTCTCTTCGTTAGCTTCGTTTCGTCTCGATGCACAGACAGAGTGTGCAGCCACTGCTGCATGTTTAGACAAACGCATCCGCGGTACACTTCTGCTTCCCGACCATCGCGGCAGGACAGTGTAATAGGAAGAGTAAGTAGCCGCTGCCGCCTGGGTTAGTGAAGTTGGTCAAGCCACAAGTGGGGCGAGGCCGCTGAAACAAGACTCGAAGAAGTAACTAGGCCTCTTCGTGAAACGGGTAGTGCCAGTGATACTGTAGCTTCAAGCCGGATGGTATGCTGCCTCACGTATTGGGACCATCTTGCCTGAGGAAGATCTGCATCAGATCGGATTCCGATTGCTGTGGGCCTTCATTCTTTTCACTTTTCGACACGTGCCCACCATATGGTGGAAATCCATTGTGGCCGTTTTCCTTGCCCAGCTGCTGGGACGCACAATCCCCCGCGGCTGCATGCGCACTCTTTGAAGGAGTGCCTGCCATGCGCATCAGGCTGGGCAATGCCTATTATTTGATGACCATCTACCTCAAGGCATGCAGTGTCGGCACGCAGAAATCCTCCAAGAGCGCTGGGCTCGCCAGGTCTATTTGGTCGACGTTTGCTTGAATGAAGCTTGGCAGCCACATTACACCTGTGCATTTTTGATGGAAAGCCTTTGAAAAAGAGGGCAAGCCTATGATGTTCCCACCCAGGTCAAGGACGAAGCGACTCTGGAGAGCCACTGTGCAGCTTAGAGCCGCGGAGTTTCGGAAAACCCTGAGATGTAAGGTGTATGAGCCGAGAGATTCAGAGCTTCAGAAAGAGAGAGAGAGAGAGAGAGAGAGAGAGAGAGAGCCGAGGACTTCTTGTCCCAGGAAGCCGTGGTCTTACCGCGGCCGTCCTCGGCCTTGCTTGGCTTCGCGTCTGAGATTTCAGTTAAGATCCGCTGTAATGCGAGTTCACGTCACGGAAGCTCAGGGTTCTCCCAAACTTCATCCTAGCAGCTTGGCGAAGCAAGTTTGACCCATGCACCGACACCTTGAATCCTCATTGGCTCTTGTTTCGGGGTCGTCTTGCCAGGTAGCTGCAGACCACTTTGAAATGTCTGCCACGATCTCAGCGGATCCAGCTCAGAGGGCATTGAAACGCCGTACGACTAGCAAAAACTCAATGCGCAGGTTCTGGAAATGGGCTTCCACATTCGTCAGCACCTGCGTGTAAATCTCTTTCGCTGGGGCCCAAGCCGAAAACGGGATGTCTTCTTGCTGTGGTATCATTATGTATTCTGTGCCCGCGATGCTCGCTGGACGAGGCAAGTACTTGAACTATACTCGAGAGTCCAGGCAGCGGGTTGTTTGCGAGGTGTTTCTGCGGTGAAAGGTGTCACAACGGGTGTTGAGCAGAAGTCGCTGTGCGGAGTCGAAGGCTGCGAGTTCCTATTCAAGATCTCAAGACGAGCATGATGGAGGATTGACCCCAATGCAATTCGTGTGCCCACTGCCGTTCTTCAGACATCCTATGTGGCAGAGGACATACCGACTTTAGCTAGAGACGGCTACCTCATTACGTTCGAGATCTTGAAGAAGGTCATGAAGGCGCATTCGAAGATCTCAGAGGAAAGCTTACATCGACGAGTGCCAGTGAAACTCTGTCTGCGGCTCGTTCTCCAATCTGCTTGTTGACAGGTCTTTGTTGTGGGCTACTGGCTGCTGAAGAAGCACCCTCGCTCTGGCCTTCCCCTGGCAGTCTACCCCACGCTGATGTGACTTCTTGGCATGCAGTCAAACTACAAGTGCAAATGTCCAGCTTCCCGGACATTGAGGCTACTCTGGCTCGGCTCACGCTACAAGCGAAGGCCAAAGACATGGCTTCCCTCACTGCGAAATGCTTGTGGCCCTTCCTTCATGTGGACTTCAAGAGAGGTGCAGAGTAAATCTTGCAGCTGAGTGAAGGCTGTGGCTTCTAAAGAAGACCGGAGACGGAGGCAGTGATACACAAGGCACCGAGCATCTGACAATCGTTCGATTGCAGTTGCAAGCTGCGAACGCATGCGCCATGCTCCTGCGATTTGTGGTATGAGCGCCATTGTTCGGAGTTGTTGTGATCTTCTCTTTATCACCACTTTCACGATTCTGGTGGATCGAGGTTGGCTGCTGCATGCAGATGCGTCATACGAGCCATGGCCGCCAGCTTTGTGCAGAGCAAGACGACATCACCCGAAAGGGAAAGTCTCTGCAACATGTCAGATCTAGGGGTAAGGGTCGAATCTCAGGATCTGGTGAATGACTATGGAAATCGATTCTTGCTGCAAGCCATTTCATCGTGGACCTGAGCTTGCCTATTCCTCCGTTGACAGTGACCCAGGAAATGCAATTGTGGGAAAATTCCAGAAGGTGTTGCAAGATCAGCGCAAACTGGTGATGGCGCTGAAGTCCTTTTCCTTCTGGACCCTTGAGCTGCAGCGTCGCACTAAAGAGTGGGCACATGAGGGCAGTCATGTCTCGGTACCACCATACCTGCGATCGAAACCCATTAGCCATTAGGGCCATTGCTATCTGCAGCCACGCTGGTAAGCCAATGTCCCGCAGCACAGACAGTTCCAGGAGCGGCATAGTAATTCCATGGATCACCATCATCGCAACCGGCTTCTACATCGCTGCGGCAGGAAAGCTCGTGACTGAAGGCCTGTCTCACGAGCTGCCTATGACGTGGTTCTTGATGCAAGCTTTTGTCTTAAAGACCATAGCATGCGCTTGCCAGATTTTTCGAGGTGAACTGTCCATGGGATCTTTCTTGGCAACGATCACCTTATACAAAGACGCATGTCTGCGTGTTTGTAAACACCGCATGGATCATTCTGCCATTTTTGTTGCTTCTGGTCCTTGCTTGGCTGGGTGCTTCACGAGAGTCGCAGCTTGCCGTGCATCGAGCGCATCCTTCTGCTGAGGATCTGGGTGACCGATTCGATGGGAGACCTGACAGCATGGGCAGTGCCAGATTGTTCAATGCCTTGGGTCTACCATTCCAGGCTCCAGGCTTTCTTACAACCGTTGTCCGTGGCTTCCTTGAGAATCCTTTTGACGACTGGGTGTCCTGCCCATCTACGTATCGAACCCTTCAACTGCGAATGAATCTGCACACAAATCTATTGGCCGGCTATTGCCGGCTACTCGGCATCGAGCTCTGTCAGTTCATGTGCAGTTGCGCTTTGTGAGTCCGTCATTGCATGGGGCCATGAGTCCAAGTTGCGCTAGAACTTACCTGTCTGGATTGCCATTCCCCCCCCTTACTCCTACGCTTTGGCAGCGGTTTGCTGCGCACGGGGTTTAGCCTCGCAGTTGTGCTCATTTATGCGTGCAAGCTGCCCGAATACCTGCGGCGCGCAGAAACAGTAAGCATTCCGAAATGTAGTGAAGGGCACGGTGTTTCGCTATTGTTGGTCTAAATGCAGGTGATGCTGTGAGACTACACCTCATGGGACTGAACCCCACCGCTCGAGCTTGCGGGCAAATCTGGACGCCTTTCTTGGCGGTCAGTTGTGCTGGTCTCGACAGGGGACCCAGCACTCAGAGGAATTAGATTCAGTCTTCCACAAACGAAACTGGCTTGCGCACGCCTAGAACCAAATACGAGGTCACATGCTTTGCAGCATTTTTTGCGCACTTTTTTTAGCCCTGGAGAGCAAGTCTCCTCTTCAGAGCCACAGTGCCTGAGATCGTTGGCCCAGAGACGAGGCCTTGTTGATCTGATTGTTTGCACGAGGATCTATGCCGACTTTGAGGCCTTGTCTGAAGTCATAGATCCATTGTCGGCAGCTTGTGCTGCACGTGGAGCTTTGTTAGTTTGTTAGCCACACGTCGGTTGTAGCACCGAACGCTGCCTCAAGCTGAGGTCCTTACTGTGCAGTTCAACCTGGAAACAGATTTGCCGCAGCGAATGGAAGCACACGAAGCACACGAGCAGAGACTCCATAGCACTCAGCAGGGCGGGGCATGCTTTGCCGCTTTCCACCAGTTTGGACCTGAAGTTCAAGGTGCAGTCCTCAAATAGATGGTGCATTCCAAGAGTACATGGCCGAGGTACCTTGCGCGACGCCTGTCCGAACTTCCACTTACTTCTGCTTCTCTGTCGGAAAGTGCTTACGAGACTTTTCCGCAGTAATAGCAAGTATCGGGTACCTGCTTGTTAACGTTGTTCTGCATGCTCGTGCGTGTAGCTGTGCCTTGTGACCTTGTGAGGACACAGTGCCCATCTTCCTTACAGATGCTTCCAGCTCAGCGGGGGATGTGACGAGAATTGGAGTCTGGATAATTAGATGCCCTCTCCGCCCTCTCCTTGACTTGAGATTTAAGGTGGTGATCCGCAAAATAGAGCCGCCAACACCCGGAGTCCTGGATCCGCAGAGGCTGCGGTGACCAAAATGACAAACGCACCTGCGGGGCAGAATCTGATCGATACCATCTCAGCAAAATCCGTCGAAGATCGCGGGAGAAGCAAGCCCTCGCCCGCGTACATGTCTGCAGAGGCCAGATGGAGACCTGGTGGAATACCCCACTGCTCCAAGTGCCACGGCTGCAGCAGCACCGCTTCTTGCAGCCAAGACAGGCTGAGCTAAGGACTCAGCGAGCCTTTGTCAGCCTGTGTGGAGCAAGGCAGCCGGCGGCTCAGACGAAACCAAGTAAGAGATGTAAGAGGAATCGGAGTCGAAGTCGAAGCAGTGAGGTTTGATCTGCTTGACGGGGCCGGCCTCCTGTGGAAAGGCCAGCCTCCTCTCCCTGATCACAAAGGATTGCCCCTTGGCCTCCATGACTTTAGAGGGACGAGGGAACGAAGGGAACTGCACGACATTTTGGACCTCTTCGTTTGGACCGTGTTTGAGCCTCAGGTCTTCCTGCATCAGGCGAGATCGGAATACCTCCTCATTTACGAATTGTCCGGGTTTCTCGGGAGCCTTCCTTCGTGAAGTCCATGGGCCTGCTCGAGCCCCAGAATCCCCAGATGCCAAATCCGAGTGGACTGCTTGAGTGAAATATCGTCGCCTTTGTTCCTCGCATGAATCTGAACCGAAGCCATTCTCCGTTGTCCGTACAACCGTCCAACCTGCGGATTGACAGCGGCGCATGCTGCCTTGGAGCCAGAGGGGCATCTGAGCGCCCCGGCTCTTTGCCCAGGTATGCCAACTTGGTGCCACAGCCTCATGGGGTCAGTGCAGGTGTCAGCGATCGTGAACAGACCCCTGATTTAGCATGTCAATCTCCGGGCGAGGTTCGGCGTCCTGTCTTCGGAGGGCGGTCACACCTATACAAACCATGACAGGGTGCTTGGCTAAGTTGCTTATTCTAAGGTTCGGAACCAGTTGTCGACGATTGAGAGCACTCGTGTTGAGAGACGAGGTCGGCAACATTCTGCGGCGCCTCTCCTTGCATCATTCCTGGATCTTCCACGCAGTGATGCAGGCAAAATCGAGACCTGTCGAAGTTTAGCTACCTGACAACACCTTCATATGAACATATACTTGGCTGATCACGGCTGCTTCAGCGAAGCTGCACACACGGCAGGACTGTCTCCGAGAAGAAGAGGAGCTGAGTAGCTCTCTCAGTTCTCTCGGGTTTCCGCACCGCGGTGTGGGGCTCTGAGCCACAGTTCATTCCGCCCATGCCCAGGTTCGGAGCACCACGAGCACGCGGACGAGGAGGACATCTTCCAGGCCCTCTTGCCGCATGCCTTCAGAGGGCGTTCTACCGCCAGCGCCAGACGGCCGTCGGCCGAGCCCACTTGCAGGAGATGGAAAGATGCATGAGGGAGCACGAGGAGCAAGTCACGGCACCGCTCTCAACATTTGTCGTGAATGCAGTCTCGGGGCACGCGCACCTTCAAGGCTCAGGCTTCAACTCTTGAGCTGTCGGAGGTCGAATCAGAGCAGGCTCGAGACGAGAGATGATCCCTCCTTTTCCGCCGTTCACCAGCAGTGCCCCACCCTGTCCGAGGACCACCTTCGGTACTGGTACGATTGCATGAGCCGGAGTGAAGCAAAGCGCCTACACTTGGCGAGGGCATTTATTGCCAGCCCAGAGGTGGCTGCGCAGTTTAAGCGCAACTGAAATGGACACGGGTGATAAACCCCCGATGGTGGCGAGCCCAGTGGAATTGTTTGCAGGTGCTAATCATGCACGCGCCGTTCGACGATCTGGATGAGGGATTGGCGCAGGATGGTGACTTTGTATACAATGTCTTCATAGCTTGTGCAACATCTTTCCTTCGGTCATTCGGAACTCGGACGTCGGAATCGCAAGTTCCAAGCTGCATACCTGGAGGACGTGCTCAAGCTGATGAGGGACTTCGTGGATGAGCGAGGCATAGCTTTGTCCAGACTTCGTGGCTGCCTGACCATAAGTTTAGGGTTATTTACTCTTGGCGTCTCGCTCACTTGTGTTGCGGGCAGGGGTTGCCCTGGACCCTGCCACCAAGCACTGCCGCCGGAAACGGAGCGTGTCTTTTGGATGCACGCATGTATCACTGGAAGTACGGGGGAGTAAATTGAAGTGTCCCAGAACCCGTCCTTCTGCAGAAGATGTTAGAGGTCGCAGTTTGTCAGTCTCAGGTTCTTCTCTGCGAAGGATACAGCCATGTGACTTGGTTGCAGACGCTCCCCGTGTCGTGTCGTGTCGTGTCGTGAGGAAAGGCATCATTCGCATCGTGGAGAGGCTGTATGTGTTTGAGAACATGCGCCCTTCAAACATGCCCAGACCGAACACAGCAAGCAAGCTAACATGTCAACAGCCACGAAGTGCAGAATCCGCCGCTCCTCCGGATCGAGTGCCGTCCCAGAAAAAGCTTCAGTATCTGAATCCACGCAGAGCAGGCTTTGCAATGCGGAAGGCTGTGGCACAGAGAACCCAAAGCACGACCAATTGCTGACAAGAGCTGAACAAAATTCGTGTCAGAATATTAAGCGGGTTTTGTAGTCCTGGCTGTGCCGGCACACCAGGTGAGGAAATCCGCCCGCATGGCACGTCGTATCGTCGTAGAAGGAAATCCATCGCGCAGGACCAGAACACACCCTTTCATGATGGTGGTCTGTCAGAAATAGTTGTCAGCGTTTATGCACGCACACGCATTGACTGCTTCGTGTCCCTGTGGCCCAAGTCTTTCCCATATCATCCAGCCCATAACCTTTAGCTCTCTCCGGCTGTTGATCTGGCACCGAGGTGCAGGCAAGTGGCGGATTTCACGTGCACTCTAGGCAAGCTGTCATCGACCTGGTCCGACTAAAGACTCGGAAAGGGTGCACCTCGGCAGGTCACGACACCGTTTCCCTCAAGCTAGAACCCAAGCATGGCGAGTCCGATGGCGGCAGCCATAGCCTTAATCGGCTTCTGGCTTCTGGGCGTGCTCACTCTTCCTGTCAGTGGCACGAGAGTCAGACCCTGCAGGCCCCGGCTGGCTCTGGACATGCGGCCAGGGTGGTTGAGAGCTCAAGGCGAAGTCGCTCGACGTGTCTCTAATCACATGAGTTGAATCATCCATCGGATTCCGACGGTATTTAACGATTATTAACGCTGCCAGCATATACCGATCAATCTACCCGCATAGAACCTACAGGGCCTCAACAGGGCTTTGTAAGTCGAACAAATTAAAAGCAGATGTTCGGGCCGCTACCTGGCATGTCGTGCCAGGCTGTTTCACGAAAGGGCTCGATCCACGTGTCCGAGATAAAGTCAAAACAAAACTTGCGTAGTCTTGCGCCTGAATTTGCTGCAAAGCGTGTGGAAGGCCAACGCACTGACATCGCGATCCGTATGTGGCTGCTGCAGTCAGGCTCAATCCGCCATGCCAGTGATGGCTGGAGCAAGCTGAGGGCTGAGGTGGAGGATTCGCGGACACGCCGCAGCCATGTCGTCGAAACGGACGCATCAGCCATGGGAGGAGAAGCGCCAGCAGACAGAGAGGCTCGTGAACCGATGCATTGAGGCACGGCGGGAGGGCACCGCCAACGCCACACCGGAGCCACCGGAGGCAGCAACAGCAGGCGAAGGGGCCGAGGCAGAGACGCTCGACCAGACCCAGCCTACCAAGGCTGAAATGGCTTACACCTTCGAAGCTCGGAGGCAGTTCTTGCAGGTCATGGCCAAGCAACAGAGAGCTTCAGACGAACGGAAGTTCTTTGCAAAGAGGGGTTCGGGTGTGCCAAGTTGTCGCGTCGGCCCAACTTCTTTGAGCGCGCCGAGTGGGCTCCGGGGCCATTTTCACAACAGTGTTGGGGTGAAGTCGGCCTACGGCAGTCACCGCTGGCCACAGTCTTTGGACGTCAAGTGGGATGGCTCACATATCGACCACACCAGGGCAGAAGAGCTAAAGCCAAACCCGAAGATGTCGAAGATGAATGCCGCGACCCGTGCGAATCAGTTCAGCTGCTATTTCGGTTCTTACGATGGCTTTGATGCCAAACGTTCTGCTGTAGCGCAGAACAGGGATGCGAGCCCCTACAAGGATCCCGCCAATCCTGAATTCCGGGAAGACATTCCGCAGCGTCACGGCAAGTTCGGCCGCCGAGCCTTCAACACGCAAGTGGGATTCCGCCATTATGAGAATCCATATGGTATCAGTGAAATTGACAACAAGCCAATGGAAGACTTCCTGCGCGAGCAGGACCGAGTTGAGGAGTTTCTCGATCGATCTTTGCCTCCACGCCAGACTCAGCACTTCAAGCAATACATGCCCAGGGCTGAGGCACCTCAAAAGTTCGAAGACATGAGCTCCCGACAACGGATGAACACCTGCATCGACGGTGGCCAGAAGACGAGCAAATTAGGATATGGTCAGATGCGCTTCTCCGACGACAAGGACTTTAAGCTTTTTGCACGACCGTTAAACACTAGTCAGATGGATCGGGCCGTTCCGATGTCGTGATTGCACCTAGAGGGGGGGGCTGCCAAGCAGCACTACCAGAACTGCAAGGCGAGTAAAGTCAGATTACTGTGTCCGCACCGTCTCACCCAACAGAGGACCGCCTGCCAAAATGGCAGTGTGCTGCAAAAACCCAGATTCGATGAGGTCTGTCTGGCAGGGTTTTCAAGCTTCAGCGCTGCCATGTCGTTGCCTGCCAAAGTGGGCTTTTGGGAACGTCAAGGCATCTCACAGCTTTGCGCAGGTGCTTGCTTACAGTACCAGGTTGTAGCGGGCCGGCCTGCGAAGAACGCGCCGGTTGCAGATACTTGTGGTGCTGTTCAGAAGTGTTGAAGCTCAGTTCATCATAACTTCGAGACACTGCATAACATTCCACAGCCCGCTTCTTTGTTCAGACTCATATACTGTCATGGACTTATACCCCTTGCCTTATGTTCCGGTAGCGTTTCACTTGCTCTGGTTGCCGGGCAAAGACCGGCAGATGCATGGCAGATGTTTGCCATGGCTCCGGATTGCTCGTCAGTGATATAGCCCTCGAGTTCGGACACGATGCATTCGAGGAGAGTCACTGCGCATTTGTGCTTCATCCAGCCTCTAGCATCCTCTAGTCTAGCAACTGCAGGACAATGACGTGGGCATAAGGCTGTGCTTGACCAATGCTGCCAATGCTTGTTCATTCGCGAGCGGAACTCGCTGGCCTGTGGACAGACTGCGCTTTCGGGGCAAGGTTCACGCCGTCCTTCGCAGCAAACCTGCGAGAGACGGTGGAGAAGCTTCAGAATTGTCAGCCTGGCGGTGCTCTCCTTTTGGAAGGCAAGGCATCGGAGTCGCTTCTCTCTGGGGCTGTTCTGCGCGTGGCTCAGGTCATACACCAGGCCTCCCGGCGGATAACAACCCAATGCGCTGCAGCATTGGTGAGGAGCTGGGCGTGTGAAGAATCGAGTTGGAAAGAAAGATCACCGGATAAGTACCGTTGGCGCATGCACAATCATCGTGTCTACCTGCTTCTCTTTCTCTCTCTCTCTCTCCCTCTCTTTCTCTCTCTCTCTCTCTCTTTCTCTCCTTCTCTTTGTCGTAGCGTCCCTTATGCGACACGCGTCTAACGACCGGCTAGATCAAGAATGTGTGGTAGCGACCGATTTCGAGAAAATCTGGGATGCGGGCTCCTTCTGTATGAGATAGCCACTCGCACAGTATTTGCATGCGTGAGGAGGCTGCGACTCTGACCCTTGGCACACATCTGACCATATTAATATACTCAAAAACAGGGTCTAAACTCGAGGTTGCGCGATCACCTGGAGCGGGAGGGCGTGCGCCGTCCCATTCGCTGCATTGGCTATGGAAGTGCAGAGGGCCTTGGCCTCCGCGTGCGTGTGCGCCTGGAGGTGCATGGCCGAGACATGGAATTGGAAGTCTTTGCCGTCACAACTGCTTTGAGCTTCGCCTGTCCAGGGAACGGAAACCCCAGACACACAAGCTCCTCCGACGCCGGCAAATGCGACGAGTGCAATTCAGGATGCACATGCAGCCTCCTTTTCAATGTTTGGACCATGACCCTGCCTGATGGTGACTCTGAACCCATGCATCATGAAGTAGACAGGATACTCTCCGGCAGATACGCCATGAAATCCACCAGCTGTCCTGCACGATGCTCAGCATTTGTCCATGTTTTGCGTCTCGGGATGTGGGGAAGTGTCCGCACTGCAGCCCAGACAGGTTCCATGCCATTGACATTCAAATCGAATTCGTCGGATTTGTCACAAGAAGGGACATGCTTTGTACTCAAGACCGCTTCTTGGCCAGTTCAGACCGCTGGATGCTACCACTTTTCGTGTTCGGAAACTCGGAAACGACGTGGATTCAACCGCAAGGCCAAGCTCGCTCGTTCACATCCCGAGCTGACCATCCAGTGCTCAGGCCAGTCTTAAGAAAGCATGGGGACCTAAATAGTTTCGGCTGGATGTGAGGCCTGTTAGCGCAGGCTTCGCCAAGGGACTTCCGGAGGAAGACAACCAAGCAAAGCGCGAGCTTTCAAAGCTCCGAGCGGATGCCGTAGCGAAGACGCTGCAGAAGCATGGTGCTGGGTCCTCGGGATTCCGGGGGGTCATTGTGTCCGGATGCTGCCAAATTCGGCATTGCAGAAGGGTCGTGAGGATTTTGATCATTATCGACTACAATCGAGGCTAGAAGCTCCGAGCACAGATCCCCCCCATTGCAGTGGCATGTTGCACGACCATTTCCACGGATCCTGGCAAGGTCCGCAACAAGATTCTCAGCTACGGTTTCGGTTCGGCGCTGGGCTCCGGGCTTTGTGCCAGTGTGGACTTCCTTGCACCCGACGACGATGCAGAAGGAAACGAATTTCGAGTCTTTGCGGCAGCCATCGGCAGCCTGGCAGCTTCTGAGCGATCTAGGTGAGCTAAGGGTCTATCCCCAATGCCGAGCTCGTCACCGAAGAGCAGGAAGGTGCGGTAGTGGACGCTCTGCTGAAGGAGCCACCGAGCCTCAAGCTCATAGCAGGAAGCATGAGCTGCCCATTGCATGGACAGCTGCGGTTTGTGATCCAAACAAGAGGAAAAGGGACCGGCGGCTGGCAGGAGCTTCTGCTGCAATTCTCCTTCGAGCCGAACGGTGTAAGGTGCTTTTGCATGCATGGTCCGGGCAGTGCCTTAGGACGAGACTTGAGAGAGAGAGGGAGAGACAGAGAGGCCGTTTCCCTTGCTTTCGCATTTACCCTAAAGCCGTCCACCCCACTGCAAACACGGCAAAGGAGTGTTTATTACCGAAAGAGAGGTAGAGGGAGAGGATGACTGGCTGAGTGCCACGATGTCTGAGGATCTCGGCTTCCCCTTTGCTGCGCATGGTAGCACTGGTCCTGAAGTCTTTCCCTTCCTGGATTATCAGGCCCGAGGCGAAGACAATGCATGCGGGACCTCGAAGAGACCGCGACAGGTGCGAAGGTCATGCGAAGGGCTTGCCGAAGGAGAACAGCCTAGAGAAGAAGCAGCTGCCACTGGCCAAGCGTCGCAAGCTGGCAGGGCTGCTCGGGATGGGTCTTGACTGAGGTCCTTGGCTCGATCGGAAAATGTTCGGAAAGCTCTGCAGGACCCTAGTGCATGCAGATTCTTGCGTTGTCCTGTCATGGACATGACCAGCTTTTTGTTCAGGAACTTGGAGTGCGCAACCCGATTCACTGCTTCGGCTATGGCTCTGAGATGGGCATAGGGAAAGCCGTCCGAATGTATGCTCTGGAGCGACAAGGCTTTCACAACAACAGTTCCCGACGATGGCTTTGTTTCTTTGCCGTCTTCGTTCTGTGCCGAGTCTTCAGGTGCACTGCGTATTCCGGAGCTCACAGACATGACTGCAGACGACAGGCTGGGGGACCGACTTTGCAGTAAGTACGTTGCTAGCTCAAATTTCAATCATAACTCAGCTCTGGCCCCAATCTCCTGAGCCGTATGTCAGAATCCCAATCCTATCTTGAATGATTGGCATCTTCCAGGAAGCATCCGGCCCATACTGCACGTTTCGTTTCGGACAACATGCAAATGTAACATCTCGGCATGCAAGAAGCAGTGAGTGCAAACATCCCGATGCCAGTGTTCCCGCACCTGGCCAGAAGTTCATCCTAGTCTTTGCAGAGACTGATTCAAGAGTACAGCCAGAGTCAAGAGTGCCAGAAGACACCTCTGCGCCAGGGAGAAGGAGCTGAATCGCTTGCTGGAGCAAATGCTGAGCAGCAACATCGATTTCGTCCCGAACCAGACAGCCATCCCGAAGTCTGCTGGAGGCAGGACGGCTCCGGCACTACAGTGGCCCTCCGACAAACTGTAAGTTGCCTGTAAGTACAAGATAGTGCAAGTCTATGCTGGCAAGGTGTGTTATCCAGCATCGCCGACTTGCTGCGGGCTTTCCCGGATGAGATGGTGCTTGTATGTGAGGCACATGCACGGGGCTTGCCAGAGGAACACTCGGCCGCTTGTGCCGCAACGAGGGGGACAAGGGGTGCCCGGGGGGCGAGGCTTTGCAGAATAAGCAGGGGCGGGCTTTATCTGATGCCGCCGTTGTTAGGAGAGCAAGGAGAAGTTGACGAGGCGCCGAGCAGATGCTTGGGCTTGATGTACGACTATTAAACGGCATAGCGAATATGTACTTGAATGCAGACGGCTGGCATTTATTGCTACTAGTTGCAGATCCAAGGAGCTTTGGTGCCAAGAACTTCGATCTCGCGGGGTCCTTCAAGATTTGCAATGCCGTGGAGCTGGATGTGCAGAAGGGCTGGGGCCATGCATTCGCATGTGGGTGACCTCACAGGCTCAGGGCATGGCGACAGAAATCCGCAGTGATCTGCGCTTCCGTGAAGGCTCCGGTCGAGTCTCCAGCGGTGAGCGACCAGGCTGATTTGTGCAAATTCCGAGGTGGTTCACGTGTCCAGACTTCATGTAGCGGCTCGGCAGGAAGACCCTCGGACTAGGGTCAATGTGCTGTTGGCCGCCGCTCTCGAGAAGGCACATGCGAAACTCTGGGGCCAGAGGCCAGAGTTGCAGCTTCAGTGACAGGATGGGGCCGTCAAGTTCGCAACGAACTCTTATCAGGCCACTCCCGCTCCCAGTCTTGACAAAGCAGCCGTTGCGCTTTGTCCCAGGTTCCAGCCGCCGCAGCCCGTTACCCAGACATCCAGACACGACGTGGAGAGCGCGATATCTTGCATCGTGGCGGACATGCATCACAGCTTGGCTAAGGCAGGGGTGATCAAAGCACTAGCAGCAATCCCAGCTGGCTACAGCTTACTGTGAGCATCGATAGCATCGCTTGAGTCATAGACTCATCGCAAGTTATCGCAGTGTAAGGCAACTGTCCTTGCGACCTGCCCGCAGTGTCCCATCTGTGTGGAGGGCCATGCCAAAGGCATCCCGCCTGATTCGATGTTGATTGCACACTTCGGACGCGCAGCCCATGCTTTCTGGAGCAGAGGCCAGCCAGGAGAGAATAGTGAAGCGAAGCAGCGACTGCAAGCGGCTCAAGCTACTCACTTTGTCCAGTGCATGGTTAATCCTTTTTAAATCGCCGATCCAGGTCACGAATGCGTGCAGAGGCTCTGAAAGTGGAACTGAGAAAGGCTTCACAACGTCTTCTGCACGTGAGCCTTCGAAACCTTGCACATGGAGCCATGCTGCGCTCAGGCTGGAGTTTCGAACTCCATCCGCTGCATTGGCCGAGGCCGTGTTGTCAGAGACACTCAATGCAAGCTGCCGTGCTCCTGGGCAGGAAGTGATGGTGGACTGGGCACTTGCTTTCAGGTTGCCGGATGCCAAGAAGCGATCGGCCTTCCTGGAGAATGCGATATCTTCGTGGGGTTTCGGAGTCAGGTGGTGGACGAAGGCCAGACAAGCCTCGAGGAGACGGAGGCCTTTTCCCCTGCAGAAAAGCAGAGTCGATGGTGAGTGATGGCTAGCAGTTCCCAAATTGAAGGTGGCCCTCCAGGACACGCAGCTCAGTGTGGAAGAGCGTCGCAGGCGGTGAGATGTTGGCTATCGATTTGGCTTCGTATGTTTTGAAGCGTGGGTCCGAAGCTGCGAGGCTGCTGGAAGAACGGTTGGATGCGATTCTTGATGGGGGCTTTAAATTCCAGAGGGGTGCCCAGCTTTCAAGAATCAACATGTGTGAGTTGCACGAAGAGTTCTGCGGTGAGGCCAAACACGATGGAGCTTCAGCTGGGATCAGCCATTGCGCTGTCCAAAGTGGCACAACTGCTCAAGGCACGACATGAGACATGCAGTCTACGGCAACATGCAAATGGGCCGCCAGTTGCATGGCAATTGCAAATAACAGGGTCAGTCGAGGAAACAGGCCAAGCAGTTGAGCAGATAGACGAGAAATGGCAAGACAGTTTTTCTTTACCTGCATGTCGGAAGTCACGCTCAGAGAGAAGCCACTGTGGCTCTCGGTTGTCAGGCTTTCCCGGATGTCGCAGCGGCTCGATTGCAAAGCATTAACCTTGCCTGCAAAGCAAGATTTCGATGCAGCCCGGTCGGCAAAAAGCACTGCTGCAGGTAGAAAGCGTGGGACATGCCAAAGGCCGTCCAGAGGACAACAACGATGCCAGAGTTCGGCTTTCAGAGGCTCGGGACATGCAGCGTGCGAGATCCATGGGCTTCCTGAGAAGCCTGCAAGGACCGAGCAGCAGTTGTTCGACGGGCCTTGGTGGCTGAAGGAGCTTTGGGCTCAATCCCTGCCCGAACAAATGCATGCGCAGCAGGCCTTGCGGCACCACCGCTCCTGTGTCGCGTGACAAACACGAAGCTGAGGTTGCCAATGCCATCACGTGTACAGGGGTTGGCTCCTCGCTCGGCCTAGGAACGAAGGCCGGAGCCTTCACAGCCTGGCAAGCGATTCACAGTATCAGTAACTACCGTGCTGCGAAACTCAGGTCTGTTTGCGGACAGTCCACCCAGGCTGAGTGCCATCGCCGAGGAAAAAGGGCCTCGTGTGCAGCTCTTGGTCTCACTCTGGGCGATGCATGCACTCGGCTTGCTCTGCAGCTCTGGCTCTGGCTGCCCTCCGAGCCTCCTCCCGCGCAGAGTAGGATGGCTCCAGGCATGAACCACGCAGCGTGCACACCTCATAAGAGCACCGCTGATGTGGTCCTTGACACTTGAGGTGCGTCTGAATTGCGGGAGCAGCTGGCCAGAGCCGAGATGGACAAAAAGGTGGAGAAGCTCTGCACCAGCCTAGTTCACTTGTGCTCTCTTCTTGGATCTTGCAGGACAAGCTCCAGATCCTTTGCAAACAGCAGGACTTGGCCTAAGTGAGCAGAGTGATGAAGCCGGAGCTCTCTTTGTGGCACTTTGCGGCCCAGGAGGAGCGAGCCAAGGCTGACAGAAGGCTTCGAAGGGATTTCTGTGGCATCCGCCCGGGCTCAGGCCTTGGAGACACTGAACAGCCGCAAGGAGGACCTGAAAACGCCCCGTCGGAGAGAGTCGGAGAACTTGCATGTCACTGCACTTGACGGCTGCTACGGGTCGAGATGCCACTTTTGGCGCAAGCATACAGGTGCCAAATTCAACTGTTCACAGGTGTTTATCATCCGGTCAAGCAGACACCTGGTCGTTTGTGCGCGCGAAGACGGACTTTTGACCCGGCATTCCCCATCTTAGATTCGTTTGAGGGACAATGCACAAGTCTGCCCTCGCCTGGCATGGATTTGGTGCGATTCTTCACCAAGTTCCAGATTCTTGGATGAAAGGGCTATATGTCTTCATGTGCCACAAGAATGTTGAAGCACTTGCTTCTGCTTCACTCTCTTGGAACCCGCTCGCTGCTGCCGTGCCTCAGGTGCTGGTCATGCGAATGTGGAGACTTGGAGGAACTGGGCGAACAAAAGGCAGTTGTCGAGAGCTTCTGCGCATGAGTCTTCTTGCTAAGCCGTGCTGGTACCTCGCACGTCTTCCCGTTTGCTTCTGCACTAAGTCACTAAGCCGGCAAGCTGAGCTGTGGATGTTTTCTTGGCGGACAAGGCAGTCGTTCGATTTGCGATTTTCGGAGGCGCAGGTCGCGGTCGCCCCTCTGGACTTCCGATTCCAGCGCTTTCCTGGCGCCAGGGAACGCAGCTACCTGGCGCCAATTTCTTGTGGGAGCCGCCCTCCAAAGCCTTGTGAGAGGATGTTCGCCACGCTCAGGGGCCAGCGAGAGCTCGCAGGGCCTGGCAAGCGAGCCTGCGTCGGAAAGCCAGATCCCACAGCAAAGCCCACGAGAAAAACAGCGACATGAGCTGAAACAGAAGCTTGGTTAAAAAGCTGGCTCTTGACGCCCAGATCCTGATCATCAGGAGGGTCAGAGAAGTCCGTGATATTAATGCCCACCAAGGCTAATGAGGAGGTTTGCAACTCGTGGAATGGACGGCGTGTCCATACAACTCTTCGACGAGCAACTCCTTTGCAAAGATTTCATGAAGGCTTGCGAATTTTGTCAATTTGATCCTGCACCTCTTGTAAGGTTGTCTGGCTCGACGTGCCCTGGTGTCTATCAGATCGACGACTTGTTGGAATACATCCGCCTCACGCCAGAGGATCCAGTTCTATTGCAAAGTGCGAAAACTAGATGTAGATACTGCCAAAAAGCTGTGCCTCACCGGCTCTTCGTGCAGTTTCCATGCCATAACAACTCGAAACAGGGCTGCTCTGCTGAAGGACACGGCTGACAGTGCACCATATGCCGGGCCTGAGCACAATGCCTATATCCGACAGGCACGGCAAAGACAGTGCCATTGACCGAGTGTTCAAGATCCCTAGACATCTGGCAGTTTCTGAGACGTATATGGAATCCAAAATAGATCCAGAACTTATGAAAGCCCTACCTTGTAAGGACCCTTACAAGGGAACCCCTAGTTCTAGAACCCCCCCACACTTGGAGAACCATCTTGTGCAATTGCACGGGTAGCAGTGAGGCATAAAGACCTTACCTTAGTTATCCTTAGTATGCTGACACTTTGTATATTGCTGCAGGCAGCCGTGAAACATGATGGAGTCTAGCGAAGTGTTCCGAACACTGTGGAAGGTTGTTTCGGTGTCTTCCGGCGCTGAGTGCGCTGCTCATGTGGAGCCAGGTGGGGGGGGTCAAGAAGACAAGTGTTGGGATTCGTGGTGCAGCAGCATAGAACGGTCCGGGCTTTCAAGCGAGGTGCTTGGCAGCAGCTCACAAGTGACGAGCAGGCTCGCTTGCTGGTATTGGTACCTGGCCTGAGATATGCTTCCACGACTCCCACAGGCCGGGTCGAGAGACGTCGCCTGAATTGAGGTTTACCACACCCAGCCACATGGGAGCTTGCCACCCGTGGATTGCCGAAAAGTGTGTTTCTTGGAGTCTTGGTTAAAGTCATGAGCACCTGCTGCACGGATGAGGGGCCTTGCAGAAAACTGAGGAAGATGATGAATCTACCTGCCAGATGTTTGCGATCTGCGTGAGGACTGCATCGCTAGAAAGCAGACCAGTATTGTGTCTGTCTCGCGAGGGCCAAAGGTTAGAGGCCGGGACATACAGAGACCAGGCAGGGTACAATTAAGGTTGCTCTCACCCTGCCCTCAACCGTGCTTCTCTTTCCGAAGTGCTTCTAGCCGAAGCCGAACACATGACTGAGCACGCCGTGCTTGTAGGCTGGAGCAGGTTGAACACGCAGCGATGCGCGTAGCTTCATGGCCTGCGAAATGAACATGAATGAAAACAGCTCCTGATCCGGCTTGGGCAAGGATGGGCCGGTGTCGGGTCGTTCGCACGGGCTCAAATCAACAACTCACCTAGCCGCAAAATGCCAGGGGTGAAGGAGTGTGTGCCGCAAAAAGATGAAGCTTCCAGCACGGCAGCTACTTTCTCTGCATGCAGCACGACATCAGATTGGTATCCTCACAGTTTCGATTCTCCCACCCTCGACACCCATGGGAGCTTAGGTCAGGGGCAATGTTCACCTGCGTGTTCCTTTTTCTCCCAGTTGTTCCCTTGACTATGAAAGCGTGAGCTATACGGGCAGAGACATCAATCACGATGAAGTTTTAGTGTCCGCAGGATCTTGCGCCGGTACATGGAGGACGCGAGGCAAAGCCAGACTCCTCGGACAATTTGACCGCATGCTACATCATGCTACGAAAATCGGTGTTCGCAGCATTGTGGTTGGTTGGCGAGCGGTTTTTTTTCAGTTATCCTCGAAACGGCGATGCAACTGCCGCTGCTTCTTCGCCCAGTGATGGCTTGGAAGCATAAAAAGCCTTGCTCTCAGTGCAACACTAGTCTGCTTCTGTGGTTGTAGTGCAGGAGCAGCTAGTGAAATTGCCGGGAGCTTGATGGGACGGATCTCAAACAGACTGGCATGGAGAACAGCTTTGCGCACAGGCACAATCGGCTTGAGGAGGCCTTGGCTGTATTACAGGCATCTTGGCTTGTGGTGAGCTGCTTACGTGATAATTCCGGGTCCTCTGAAGCCAGGAAGGTCAGAAAATGTATGCCACGCAGCAGCCTCTCGGACTCGGGCGTTGTGTTGTTATTTCCGTGGAAAGCCATGACTAAGCTCCCAAGGGTCCCCCAAGACGCCAGGAAAGTCATGGACTCGCAGCAAGAAACAATCGAGCGACTCTGCTTGGAGCTGAGCTGTTCGCTGCGAATCTTCCGAAGTCAGCTTGCAAGTTCAGGTCGTAGCAAGCCGAATGGCCTGGAAAAGCCAGCCCCAGAGGCAGGAGGATTGGAGCGAGCGTGACAGGGATGCTTTGCGGGGCTTCATCCACAGGCCGTGCCAGCCAAGAGTGGCAGGGATGAGGCCAGGCATTCAACGTGAAGTCGTCTTGGCCTCTAGGATTTCTGCCTCGGTCCCAGGCGCGAGCTCGGGCAGAGGCGGCGTGACAAGTCATAGCGCAGCCCGCGTTCAAGCAAAAGCTAGAGATTCTCAAAGTAACCTTTCCGCAAACAGGCCAAAGCACAGGTGATGCGTCCGTCCACGCAAAAACAGGACCGATTTGCGCAAGTCCCGATTGCGCTTGCTCGAATTGCACGAATCGCGTCGGAATATGCAATGTGAGCACAGAGTCGAGTGACAGCCTTCGACGTTTTCTCAGAAGGAAAGTCCGACGAGTCCGGAGTCTCCAGAAGAGGAAAATGAGTTCCTGGGTGTCGGATCCCTGGCACAACTGGAGGGTCCCAGCTTGCAGCTTTTCAGAGAGAACACGAATGCTACCTACGCCCTCAGATGGATACTCAACAAGCAGAGCAAGTGCTGGCGGCGCTGCAGGTCCGAAGATGCAGGGCTTTCTGTGAATTGAAGGAAGTACGCCTAAGGCGAGAGTAAGACATGCAACTGCATCAAGTGGTTTGTTTTCTCCTTGACGGCACTGGCAAGACTACTTCGGATAGGGCATCACTCAAAGTACATGTTGCGGGATTGACCGGCCAGGCTATGCTTGCGGAAAAAGAGCAGCTCCATCAGCAGCTGCTGAACGAGCAGGCTGGAACCCTACTCAGCCACTGCACACCTTTTTGATGTTTCCCCGTGCACTGGGGGACTCCGGACAGGCTGATGCTGAAAGGAGACTGCAAGCGCTGAGAGAGATGGGCTCGGCATAGGTTGCTCAAACGTGGCTCGGGCGGCCACTGTGCTTCGAGTGCAGTCGTTCATTTTTACAATATTCATGTGCGAGCGGACCGTGAAATGGACGAGCCAAATGCGCTGCAGTCAAAAGGCAGAGCACTTGGTCACCAGCGAGTGTGTCAGTGCAGGATTGCGGTTTGCCTGCATGCATCAATCCCTGCTCTCCACAGGGAAGCCGATCCTGCAATAAGATGTCGAGACAGCAGGAGGTGCAGAGTAAGTTACACTGAACACCCAACGCCTCAGATATGAAAGAGCAATTGTACCATTGGACCGTTTTCCATTGCTTTATCGGAGCAGGCTTTCTCACCCTTCCTTGTGGCGGGTCCTAC